GCCTGAGTTCAAGTCTGAAATATTCAGAAAAATCCTACTATCTTTAGTATGTTCCAGTCATTTGTTTAAACAACACACTAAAAGTTAATATATATTTTTATAATTATAAAAGTTCCCCAGTTATTGTACAGTACACAATACAAATTGCCCACAAACTATTATTTAGCTCCTGCCAATTTTGAGAGGACATGATATACTAAAAGATTTAGCATTTTCACAAAAATCACATCAGGAAATACGTATTTACAAAATCAAATACATTATACAAAACCCATCACGTTATTCTGTAAAGATGTTTTCTTTAAATAATTAAAAAGTATATTCAACTGTAATCCAAAAACTGGAAAAGAACATTACATTATCTCACACATACAATCTACAAAAAGTTGCTTACCTCATTTACATTATATATTCAGTCAATTTTGAAAATAAAAAGATCCAATATGCTCTATGAGTGTTTCCTGCATTTCTGTGCTTGTGGGACTGAAAAGCATGACCTGCCACTTACTAAGTGAAATTTAAATGATGGCACGTAACGAAGAACAAAAACAAATTGTAAAATAAAACAGTGAAATAACTTATATCAAAGGTAAGAAAGCCCTGAGTGATAGTAGAGTTAGCAATGGTAAGAACTAAATTTAACCGCATAGACAGGCACAAATTCCCCAAGTTTTTAAGAAGGCACACAAATGTTTGTTTTGTTTTTTTACAGCCTCACTAGCTATTAGTAAAAAAGTCAAATTTCAAATGGGAAAATTAAGTTATAAAAGGAGAAACCTGCTTTGGTTAGACTTTTGTTTTTGATAACTGTACGTTGAAAATTATTTGGTTATTTTGAAACTGTAATTAAGATTTAAAACGTGAAGGTATAATTCCCTAAACTACCTGGGGCTGTACTTCTTGTGCAAGAAATCCATATCAGAATTTCAATAGGCTGTTTTTGAAAGTTGCCCTGAGGCTGCAGAGGCCAAAGGCAGAACTCCAGCATCTCTGAAATTGGCCAGGGGGGCGAGGGGGAACTTGGGGGCCAGAGGAAGACCGGCCTGGCCCCTCCACTGGTCCAGGAAGAAGGCAGCTTCCCTCACTGGCTACCCTGCGACAGCCGGAGCCAAGCAAAGAAGAGCCACAGCAGAACAGGAAGATCGCTTCCCTTGCATGCCATGTCCTTTTAGTACATAAGTCTGATTACAGGGCCTGAATCTCACTTTTATTGATGTGAGATGCTTAGGGAGATAGGAATGTAGTAATGAAATAACACAGAAGTACTAAATAGGCACCTTCTTTATAATCAGTATTATACTGGGTTCCATACTTCCTATGCTGTTTTGCAATAATACATACTGTATTTTTCGCTCTGTAAGACGCACCAGACCATAAGACACACCTAGTTTTTGGAGGAGGAGGAAAACAAGAAAAAAAATATTCTGAATCTCAGAAGCCAGAACAAGAAGAGGGATCGCTGCGCAGCGAAAGCAGCAATCCCTCTTGCTGTTCTGGCTTCTGGGATAGCGGCGCAGCCTGAATTCGCTCCATAACACACACACACACATTTCCCCTTACTTTTTAGGAGGGGAAAAGTGAGTCTTATAGAGCAAAAAATACGGTATATCCTAATGTGGACAACCCATTCAAGCCATATATCTTGTTAAAATTTCAATTTAGGAAATGAAATGATTCCTATTTATATAGTACTTGCATGCATGCTGAAGATTTGACTCTTACCTGGCCATGAAAGGTGACCAGTCATTGCAAAAGTGTCGCGCAACCAAGTGGAAAGGACCACACTTGTCTTGCTCGACAGTTTTGCTTCCCTCTGAATTGCAAGCTGTTGCCCCATCCCATTCTCACTGCAGTTAAACCAGATCTCCCTGATTTCCGCTAAGTCTAGGTACAGAAGGCACAATCCACAAGGCATTGCTGCTGGGCAATTTCAACTCGTTTCCTATGTGATTTGTATGGAAGGCTGCCCAGCATCAGTGCTTGGTGAAATGTACAGAGATGAGGCTTAGTAGGATGATGGTTTGCATTCAATGGGTATTCTGGTGTATTTCATTTTACATAAACAATTGAACTGAGAATTCTTACCAAATATTACTCAGGGCTTCATATATATATATGAAAAGAAAAAGAAGGGAGGGAACGAAAAAAAGAGGAGAGAAAAATCATTAAAAAAACAACAACCACAAATTGTTTTGAAATCAAGGCATGTTACTTCAATCAAAAGACCCCAGGCAGTCACTTTGTAAGTGGCTTTAACTATTAAGTAAAATTGGTAACGTAAACTCAGTTCTACTGGCACATAAAATCACTAGCAGCAATGATCAAGGCATGCAAACTGAGAAGCATTTACAGTAAAATTATTATGAATAATAAATTCATAAACCCTTTGAGTATTGCATTCATTTTTAATTATACATTAATTTGAATAGCTTGTCAGAATAAGGGAAGGCTGGTTAGAGGCTTGTGTTAGAGAACCGTAGCGCTCCCAAGCCCCTTCCAGAATAACCACAGCTTCAGTGCAAACTGCTTATTAGTGATGATGCATTGAACCAATGGACAAGAATCTTGCAGAACTCTATCGAGAGCAGGCCAGCGCTCCTGGAGACTCTCCGAGAGAAAGGCAGCTCAGCAGCCACCTACTGGGAGCTGCTGGGTGCTCCGCACCCTGGCAACTGGGGCAGGGCCAGTCCAGCAGCAACAAGGGGTGGTTGGTGGAGCCTCAGCTACAACAGGATTAATAACTTGGGGGATCACAGGCCAGATCTAGAGACTGGGCTGGTTTGGCAATTGTGACTACGTAAAAAAAAACCATATACTGCTCTATCGCCCACAGCCTATTTTTATCTGCACAATGTCTGAAGTTTGGAATTCCTTAGAAATATGCCACTCTGCATTCAGTAACAAACAGACTTGGGAATGGGGAAATGGGGTGAATCAAGGCTTCAGCTCAACAAAACTAGATGCCTGGCGGGGAAACTATGTGCACAGCCAAAGGCTTCTCTGAGCACCACAGGAGCTCACAATGTGGGAGAGGAAAGCCATTTCCACTCTCAAAATGCAGCCTGCCTTCAGCTGAACAGTGGGTGCAAAACAAAATCCCAAGACACCTGTAATTCCACCCAGTTCTCTCCCAGGAACGCCTGTAGAGGCTCCTTGGACTGTAGTCACAGCAATACCCTGGGAGAGACCGTCTACAGCACAGCCGTCTCAACTGTGGCCCTCCGTATTTCGTAGGACAATGACTCCCCTAATGGCTGGGGCTGATAGGACTTGGGACCCAACATCTGGAGGGTCATGGGCCAGCCCTCCTGGTTTATAGGATGGGGGCATGTGTAATTGAACTGCAAATGTCTTACAAAATTCAGGTCTCTGAGATACATTTCCTATTTAACACATACCCATATACTAGCCTAGCAAGATTTCCCCACTACAGTGGTACCTTGGGTTAAGAACTTAATTTGTTCTGGAGGTCCGTTCTTAACCTGAAACTGTTCTTAACCTGAAGCACCATTTTAGCTAATGGGGCCTCCTGCTGCTGCCACGCCGCCGGAGCACGATTTCTGTTCTCATCCTGAAGCAAAGTTCTTAACCCAAGGTACTATTTCTAGGTTAGCAGAGTCTGTAACCTGAAGCGTCTGTAACCCGAGGTACCACTGTATTCTCAAATAAAGTTATTTTCTTGTTAAGTATCTAATTTTAAGAACATATAGGTACTTTTCAATTCATGTTTCTTGGATCAAATAATTTCCCCCTAAACTAGTAGCAACATTAGTTTGCTGTAGGCAGTAAATAGCAGAAATGCTAGTTTGCTGCAGGCAGTATTCTAAATGTATTCAGCAGAGATGCCCTCCTCAAATTCAAGTACTGAGATTGAGAAAAACATTTACAATGCATCCAGATCTTTGATGCTTAAAATGTCTAATAGGGAAGGGCCATAACTCAGTGGCAGACCATGTGCTTTGCATGCAGAAGTTGTCTGTTTCAATCCCTGATATATCCAGGCAGGGCTGGGAATGTTCCCTGCCCCAAACCCTGGAGAGCTGCTGGGTAGACCAGTGTTCATCAACTTCAGGTCCCCAGATGTTGTTAGACTACAACTCCCATCATCCCTGACCACAGGCAAAGCTGGATGAGGATGATGGGAGTTGTGGTCCAGCAACAGATCAAGGTTGAAGAACCCTGGGATAGACAATTCTGAGCTCGGTGTACCCCTGGGTCTGACTTTGTATAAGGCAACTTCCAATGTTCCTATGACACACCTATTTAAGTGCAAACCAGGGATGGATCCTAACTTAGTCATACTTTGAGCAGACCTATTGAAATCAAGTCCCACAAACTTCCCTGGACTGACTTGAAGAATGACTATGGCTAGATTCAACCCTATGCATGACAAAATAAAAAATAAAAATATCCACCCCCCCAAAGGTAATTGCTTCAGTAGGATTTGGGGAGCATTCAGAGTTCTCTGAAGTAGGGCACAACTCCTTAGATTTTCTTAAGAGTTCTTGGGACCTGTTCCCCTGCAAAACTGTGCACATGGTGTTCATTATCTCAGATAGTGGTGAGGGCTGGGGCCACGGCGCTCCTCCTCTTGCCAGCGGTCTCTGAAATATTTGTACCAATCACATTAGCTTACAATGCTCAAAGGGTTAATGCAAGGCGTTACCATCAAAATAATTTCCTATCACTAGAACTAAGCACTGCATCTATGCTTCTATTCCAGTTTTCTTCAGTCACCAAACAACCTTGCAACAGTACTAACATTCCCCTTCCTCTTAACTCATTTTAACCATATAGATAAAAGAGACTGACCTGTAATGCAGGAATAAGGGCCCAATTTTCACGTAGGGGTACTACTCTCACCAATCAGTGTTACATATTCCGAAATTAGTGTTATATGAAAGTTAAAAAAAATTCCTATAGGTATTCCTTATATAAAATTATTCCATTATTGAAACAAGGTTGCAATTAAAAGTCAAACTTAAGTATTTCCTTGCTGATTTGTCTCGTGAAAACTATGCAGTTATTTAATGCTTTACTGAAAATAATTTGAGAGAAGTGTTTCCGATGCTTAAAAATACCTCGTTTTAAATTAAAGAAATTGTATGTAGATCTGTACATTCCTGAATGACGGTACCATTAGTACAAGTCCTGTTTAAATTATCACCACGCACGGTGAACCAAATGTGGTAACATTGCACATTGGTAACTTTTTAAAAGGTGATCCATTTCTAAAGTAGTGTCGTAATTCCAAGTTGTAATACAAAAATAAGCACAAAGCAAATAATTTCGACAAGACAGTACAAACATTTGTAAGTTTAAAGTGACAGCACCAACTATTTTGCATTCCTGAAGAGCTTATGAAAACTGGGCCTGGCCTCTGAGTAGGAAGTTTCCAGAGTAGCGTCTACATTGATCACTGCATTACTTCTACAAGAGCCAAAAAGTCCTATTTTTAAAACTTATTATTCCTTAAACCAACTTTTAAAGAAAGGAGCCACACAAATCCTATGAGTCTATTCTCCTGCAATGCCATCAAGAGTTAATAATGTCCAGTGCTTTTTTTCTTTAAAAAAATGTTTATGGGTACTCTCATTTTTCTACTGATATTGAAATACTGCCCCTCAAAGAGGCCAAAGTTAGATTCACAAAATGTTGAGGGGTATGCGTACGCCTGCGTCCCCCCAGAAAAAAAGCACTGGTAATGTCAGTGCTAAGACATAATATTAATATTTGTGTTGTGAATGATGGTTAAATTGTGATTTTGTTTAAATTCATCTCCAAGATTCAAAGCCCTCTATGGGTCTGAGGTTTCCTACCCAAGGCAAGTTGGGGGGATTCTGGGGCAACATCTAAGGTCCAAAGGATCTGGGGTGGGAAGAGGAACTTGGGGCAGCCCTCTGGGTTAGGGGCACAGATGCACTTGGGCACATGCAGGGGAGTCTGGGAATCCCAGCCACATTTTGCAAGGAATGCTGAAAGGATATAGGCACCAAGAGTGGAGTGTCAGAAAGCTCCCTTGATGTGACTTCATGATTACGCGGAAGGGTATGTGGGGACAATGCAGGGCAGAGGACTCACCCTATTTGTGAGACCAATAAATAGAAAAGCAGAAATGATCAACTGCCACTAAATTAAGTGATAAAAATACGCACATTTGGGTTGATCAAAACTAGTATTCCATTTTTTAAAAATATTAACTTATCAGAGCATTTTTGGATGAATCTGGGGCAATATGTGGCTGCAGAGATCCATCTTATTTACCTGGTTCCATTACAGACTAGAATGTCACCTTTTAATCAGAAAACTTGACATAAGATAAAATTATATATTGATCTTTTTGGCACCTTGAATACAGTGATCAACTAAGGTGGGAAGGCGAAAAGAGTTGACTTACAGAGGATTTACAAGGCCTGTCTCTCTCAGAAAACTAAATTTGCATCTTTGTCATTTCGCTGCATGAACAAAATTCAACAATAATGAAAAGGACAATGATTAGAAAACATACAAGTTTGCCATCTCAAAGGATTATTATCAGTAAATAAATCTAATCTCCTTACTAGAGCCTTAAAAAACTATGCTGAAAAGTGTTTCTTTGTTTTTACATTTAATTTCACTGTATTTAAGTGTAAACATTTCATAATGCACAATGAGAGGGAGTAAGTATCACAGCTTAGATTTCTTTAAAAAATGGTGAGGGGTACAGACGTGATGGATTTTGAGCGGGGGGATGGGGACACATTTAAATAACAGAGGAAACAGAATGATCATGGAATCATATCAGCATAAGTTAAACAATGTGGCAGGAATGACCAGGCGCAAAATCTTGCCTGGCCGCTCTGCCAGTGGGCCTCCAATTCTGCAACTTTAAGAAAATTCATAAAGCTTGGTTTAGAAGTATAAATGTTTAAATTAAAAAATTAGTAAATCTTTAGAAATTCTTGAAACATGAAAAACCTAGGATCAAACTTGTGTGCTATAAATATACCAACAATTTCTCCTTGCTGTTCAAGCATGTGGTGACTCTAACCTTAAATATCGTCTTTCAGACAAATGACAAACAAGGCTCTGAATATTTGACATGGGCCTTGTGCTATAGAGTCTGTGAATTTTCTTTGTGCTTTCCTTCATTTTTGGTTTGTTTTGATCAAACTAAGGAAATTCAGGTATATTTTCAACCAATGACATGTTTAATCCATTATACTTGTAACAGGTCATTAGACAAAAGCAAAACAAAAAAAACCCACATATAGTATGATTTAACCAGTAAATGAAACAGCAGACTGACCCCCCACATGTGCACAAATTGTAACTATATGCTGCTTTAAAAAGTTTTGCTTACTTTACTTTTTAAAAATTAAAAGTAGATAAGGGTTTAGAAATATATATAAATTCTTGTTTGGAAATTGGCTAACCTATTTTGTTGACCTTTGACATTGTTAAAGCTAGTTTTGTTTTTCATACACTCCCCTCCCCACCAAGAAAATCTGATTAGTAATAAAGTGAAATTCAGCTATAAAGAAGAAATATGCCGTCACTCTAAGCGGGATACTGTATCTAATAAATAAATAAAGAAAATCTTGACTTTTGAAAACTATGTAACCTGCCCTTCTACTGTTTGGGGACTTGGGGGAGGAGGGGAGAAAGAAAGAAGACAGGCACACTTTGCTGAATCAATGCAAGAGTTATTAACAAGAAAATCTTAGCTTCAGTTCTGTTTAAGGCACCATGTAATAGCCGAGGTACAATGATCCCTGATGTACATTCTTAAATGGCAATGGTCCGTCTAGCCACCTATTCAAATTCTACGCAATTGGGAAATAAGTACAAGTGACATGTGCCAGTTTCACTGCCTTTTAAACATTTTTGTATAAAATGAAATCCACTTAAGAACCAGGAATTATTTTGAGCAAAGTTACAATGCAGGTTGCTACATTCCTTGCATCCTATAAACTATCTTTAACAAGAGCAGCAGATTGAACTATCACGGGGAAAAGGACATGGAATAAAAAAAGTCATCTGAAAGGAATGGTTTCCTGCATGTCCAGTTCAGCATAAGTAGTACGTACACTTAAAAAATAATAATCAAGATGCTTTTCTTTTCTTTTTCTAGCTTCAGTCTCTAGCATCGACAGTCCCACTGAAGAGCAGAAAGCATCTGGGTGGTGGTCCCCTGTGTTTATGTGGTGCATCATCCCCCCAGGACAGGCTTCAAATCTGCTGCAAGCTCAACTGAAGCCAGCGGAGGTTGCACAGAGTCGGCTGCTTGGGCAGACGGCACCTGAAATCAGTAGTCTTAAAAGAGAGGAGTTGGTACGCAAATAACTGATTCTTTTTTGAAAAGGAAGATTGCATTGTCTGTAATGGTGTCCTGTGTACATGAATTAAGTACACATTGCCACATGTGATCAGAGCTCTCATTTATCCTGCAACCGTGAGAATCGCTCTTCCTCTGAGAAAGACGACAGTCTATGTTCTCTAGCGTCATAATAAAATTTCCAATATAACCCCTGAACACTCTGAAATGTATCAAAATAGCATCTTCCAGTTCTGTCCAATGAAAGCTGCCTTTCCTATAACAAGTTTAATGCAGCTGCTATCAAATGAGCAGGCCTCCAGTGTAAATCAAAGAGGAAAATTCTTGATATTTCAGAGTGCAATTAATTAAAACCCTATTTATACGAAATCACCATGACTAACAGTTAACATTAAAATATTTTGTAAAAACTATGAAAAATTAAATTACTTTTAATTATAAAGAGGACAAAAACATTAACATTAAGCTTCTCAAAAACGCTTCTTGACTCTTGAAACTAAGAAAACTCTTTATATTAAGCGGCCAGTGTAAAATGATTGTATTTACCAATTTTTTTTTTCTTTTCCAAAAGAGACCTGGAGAAATACATACACTCATTTCATTTCACAACTCCAGTAAAAGTAATGTTCAAGCACAGATAAAATTTGACAACAGTCGACCTTCAGACTTCTTTTTTTGCATCCCTCCCCTCCCCCAGGATAAGCCCAACATCAACAGGGCTAATATAATCTGGAAAAAAAAGAGCTTTAATATCTGTTAGACTGCAGTATACGTGTTTCCAGTGGCACTGCATTGTCTGATCGTTTGCGTGGCTGTCACAATGTGCTCATTGTGCAGGGGGCCCAGCAGGCTCTGCTGAACTCCGCTCTCCAGGACGGGTTGCAGGCAGCCCACCTGGAAGGCCTGGCTCAGGTCACTCTTCTCTCTCTTGGCTTGCGGCTCTCCGGAGTCATCCAGCTCTTCGTCCATTTCGCTTTCCACTTCGCTACCTTCATCTGCACAAATAAAACCACCATGAATCCTGCAATCTGAAAGAGCCAGAGGATTGGGAGATGGAATTGTTTAGCAACCCGACCATTTCCCGAAGTATCAACTGTTCCCAGTTTGGGACCCCAGCAAAGAGCAAAGAGGCAAACTTGCAGGTGCATCTGTGTGTACCCAGTTAATCATATAATTCACTATTTCCTAAACTTGCAGGTGCAGGTTGAATTATTCCTGCGTTGCAGGGGGTTGGACTAGGTGACTCTCCAGGCTCCCCCCCAACTTGACAATTCTGTGATTCTGTTATTCTACTTTCAGTCATCCTAACTATAATACTGCGGATTCTGTCCGTGTTTCATGGTAATCAAAGATTTCCTATAATCTAAATGCCTATTATGCTTCCGGTTTCAGAACTATATTATCTCAGTGTATACCGATCTCTCATTCTCAAAACCTCTGACCAGGGTTTAAACTGGTTTAAACAGGGTTCGGCATTGTGTCATACTGGTTTCATTAAGCCTGGTTTGTCCATTATTCTGGAACAGTTTTAAATATTACACGGTACACACGTTTCACAGCTTCGCCTGTTCCTGGATCCAGTGGTGCTTTGTATGAGCAGAAGGTACTGCTGATACTCCCCTGAGAGGTGTTTCTAAGGGGATGCTAGAACACCATCAGTTTGCTATTTCTGTCTTTCAAACAAGGCAAGAATAACGATATCCCACTTGGTGGGATACTAGTCTCCAATGGAGAAATTCATTTCTGTTCATGCAAGGTGTCCCACCCCCCGCAATCCTATTGATTTCCAGAGGGTTCTCTGATCCTCCAAATGGATTTTTGGAGAGAAAAGAGAGCTGTAGCAGGGAGGTGAGATTAAGAAAGCACCACTGCACAAGCCAAATTCTACTTTCAATTCTCTGGATGCAACCCAAGATCTAGAACAAACTTCCTACTGACCTTTGTCCAAATTTCCAGGAGACACAGCATTTAAATCACCAAACTGCAGAGGAGGAAAGCATAACAAATAGATAGATAAATATTATTGTTAAAATTCCTATACTGCCCTTCACCCGAGCATCACAGCGCAGTTTACAATATAAAAACACAACAATACATAATGCAGTAACAAAAAAAACCCCAATGTCCCACAGGCACATTTAAAAGGCCATAGATTGTTTAAGAGGATAAGAGGAATGTTTCTGCCTGGCGCTTAAAGATATCTACTGAAGGCATCAGGCTAACGTCGCCAGGCAAAACATTCCACAAATGAGGAGCCACTGCGGAAAAGACCCCTTCTCGGGCTCCAATCCTCTGAACTTCTTGTGAAGAGGGTACATGAAGAAGGGCCTCGGATCTCTCTCTCTCTCTCTCTCTCTCTCTCTCTCTCTCACACACACACACACACACACACAGAGCGCATTATCTGAACATTTTCTCTTGCAGTCAAATCCTTTGACCCATCTAGTCGTCCCCCTGGCTCCACAGGAACAACACAAGCAGCGATTGACCCCTACGTTCAGATTTTGGGGCTTCATCCCTCAGTCCTCTGGGCTTCTCCAAGGTTCGAAGATGTCAGGAATGGTAAGGAAATGTTTATACTAACACACAGCACAAAGTCTTTTAATCTGACTGACTTATAAAAAGTATTTGAGACCAAGCGGGAGGAAAGAATGAGAAAGTGGATGACAGCATTCAAAAGGAAGCATTTGACAACAGAAAAGGCAACAACAATGGTTTTGACACTTGGTGAATGGAGGCAAGGCACACTCTTTGCCTACTTGGCACCTTTCCTCACAAGACACTCTTGCGGATTTTAGCCCAAGAAACAGAAATAATTATTGTGTGGTATACAAGACAAGCAAGAAGTTCCTTGGATAAGCTTTGATATGTCGAGAAAAGCCACAGTAAGCAAATAGGATGCAGACATTCTATTTTAAGGCTTATTATTACTTTCAATTAAAAAGGCAGGCAGCACATTTTCTCAAGTTCTCGTCATGCACAATTTTGATACAAAATCTCTGAGGGTGATTAGGAGTTAATTAACAAGAAGATCACTATTTGGATGATAAGAAATACCAATTTTGAGAGGAAAACAAGAACTTTCTTTACTCTAGGAAGAAGCAAAGGAAGGATGTGAATGATCTGACTTCATTCACTGATGTGCCATGCCAGGGTGACAGCACAAATTGTATTATTATTATTATTATTATTATTATTAGAATTTATATACCATCCTATACCCAGAGGTCTCAAATATGAATTTTGGATATTGGAAAATTATAGACTCAAAGAGCAAATTTTGAGGTTTGGTACTTAGGGAAAAACTCAGCATGAACAGATACATTCTGACAAACTAGAATGAGCAATTCAGCATGGTTTCAGGAACTAAAGTATTAGATACTACAACTGAAAATTGGATTTTACATCTGTCACACCCAAATCTTACATAAAGAGATTTCAGTCCAACAATTATCCCATGTATTCCCCACAAGACGCATTTATTTCTTAACTGAATACACTTTAGAGAAAATTATTTCTAATTCAATTTTATCAGCTGGAAAAGTGTTCTGGCTGTGGACTTACTTCTCCCATAACCGCAATAGGTGTCTCTCCTGTGGCTTGAGCAACACGATGTTCAACTAAGTAAAACATGTATTCGTCATACAATAGACGGATCAGATGAAAAGAACCAAAGCTAGCAGCACTGCGCAAGGTTAAATCTCGAATAACCATTGAGCTGTATAAAAATAAAAATGGGAAATATGATCATTCCATAATTACTTCAGAAACCTCTGACTTAATTTCCAAAGTTATCCAAAATAATTCTGAAAAATCAAACCACTTAGGAAAATATGCTTATTTACATTGCATTTAGAAAGTTCTATTAATGTGTAAATAGCCCAGTTGGGACGTAACATTAAACGACGGTTTAGAGCAACATGAATGAACAGAAGTGAGCTTTGGGTTTGTCTGCTCACCCCTCCTCCTCTGGTGCAGCCACAGGGAATCTGAAGTTTTTGCTTCCTGATTTAAGCTAACCAAAGTTTCTTGTTACACCCAAATTGGGAACTCTGGTTAACTTAAACTACAACAAACCATTCTTTGATCCCAGCGTGTTTTAATAAACCATGGTTTAAGCTAAAAACAGTCTGTCCTTTTTGGGCATTATAATAAACTGCAGCTAGGAAACAGATGGTTCAAGTTTCCTCAATTTATCTGTGCTGGAGTAGAAGAGAGAAGGGCAAGGTGTGAACATGAGGCTTATTCGCATAATGATAAACTACAATTTACTGTACTGTTATATCCATTCTCTTGGTCAAATTCAATTTTTGTTGTTATGACCATCATGGTCATTTCAAGCACCAGCAGAAAGAATTGTACATCCTATACATACTATATAGAATGTGCAGAAATGCACCGTTAAAAAGCAGAGTTAACCAACGTATACAGATGTATCTTAAAATACAGACCAACACAAATCAGTTTCTATATTACATTGCCGATCAAACTTTACAGTCCATCATAATATCTTTAATGAACATTCTTCTGTTTCTGGGCTGCAACTGCAAATCTCGCAACGTTGTCGGTCACAAACTTCTCCGTGCCAGACAATAACTACGTGATTTTCATCCACATCAGGCATCTCACATTAATTCCAGAATATACAGTATTTTTCGCTCTATAGGATGCACCGGACCATAGGACGCACCTTGTTTTAGAGGGGGAGAAAAAGAAAAAAAAATTCTCCCCCTCTCTGCTCAGCGCCCCTTCAGCGAAGTGGCAGGAGAAACGGAGCCCCTTCCATTTCTCCTCCCGCTTCACTGAAGGGGCGCTGCGCAGCTCTCCCTCTCTGCTGAAGCCAAGAGAGTCTTGCTCTCCCGGCTTCAGCAAATGGAACCTGAAGCCTTCGGAGCGCAGCGCAAGTTCTCACTGCGCTCCAAAGGCTTCAGGCGGCTATCCCTGAAGCCTGGAGAGCGAGAGGGGTCGGTGCGCACCCCTCCAGGCTTCAGCGAAAGCAACGCGTAGCCTCCGGAGCGCGGAGGGAGCACTCCCTCTGCGCTTTGGAGGCTTCGCGTTGCTATCGCTGAAGCCAAGGAGCCTGCATTCGCTCCATAGGACGCACACACATTTACCCTTAATTTTTGGAGGGGGAAAAGTGCATCCTATAGAGCAAAAAATAGAGTGAAAAATACGATACTTAGCTCTCCGTTCAGGATACAGAGGGCAATATAGTACATAATGATAGAGGTCTTCTACTGCTTGTGTACAAAGTCGGAATTTTCCTGCAGGGTCCCTTCCATTGTGTGGGTCAATATCACTTATCGTAGGAGGAGGAGTGGAGGAGTTTGGATTTGATATCCCGCCTTTCACTCCCTTTAAGGAGTCTCAAAGCGGCTCACAATCTCCTTTCCCTTCCTCCCCCACAACAAACACTCTGTGAGGTGAGTGGGGCTGAGAGACTTCAGAGAAGTGTGACTGGCCCAAGGTCACCCAGCAGCTGCATGTGGAGGAGCGGGGACGCGAACCCGGTTCCCCAGATTACAAGACTACGGCTCTTAACCACTACACCACACTGGCTCTCTTATCGTAGGCATATGGGTGAAATGATGCAGCAAATATATAGCCATGGCTTTGGTTACTCAGTGCTGTGCTTAGAAGCACCATGTATTACAACTCTGAATAGAGTCCCATGCCTAATATATACAGCCTTTTTAACGGAAGCAACCTACAGCGTAGTCAACAGAAAGGCCCAGCCTAGAAAAATCACCCCACAGAAAAGTCACCCTACAGTGGCTGCCACAAACGGTAGGACTAGATTGACAATACCTATTCATTAACCACAAGGATCACATTACCTATATCAAAAATTGAGTTCTGATCTTAAGTATGAGGTTAATAATTATCTCAGCAATAATTGACTCATTTTGGGGACCCACAAAGACATCAGATAGCTCCAAGGAAGGAAGGTATAATAGTTAATAATACTTCAAAGTTGTAATTCCCAAACACAACAAAGCCTAAGTATATGTAACTGCACTTGCTCATGTTTCTCTCTTGTTACTCTCCTCCACCTCTGAAAAAAACTTTTAGGTATAAGCGCCCTCAAACATTATTTTTTAGGTGGTGGCGGCATATATGGTAAATGCCACAAAGTTCACTTGTGTTGTTAGTAAGATAAAAGACTGTGTGCTTGTGACAGAGCACCAATTGTTCAGAGTCTGCTAAGGCACTGACCTGTAGAAAGACCACTTTAAGAGAAATTGCCGTGCTGCTTTAGGAAAACTCGGCCTTCCTTCGTACGGTTTCAGTGCTTGCATCATGACGTTGTCAAGCCAGGCCGCCCACTGCTCCAGAGTGCTCTGCTGCTGAAGAGTCATCTTGAAATCTGTTTCCAACCTCTGCACCATGTTGTCATCACACTGGCACACCCAGGAAGCCTGCTCCTGTCCCAGTACAAAAAAGGCACAAGAAGAATCCAGTTATGGGAACTTAAGAGACGGCAGAGAAGAAAAGCAGCCCATGAGCACATCAAGGGACAGCAGGTTTGTTTTTTTAATCTGCAGGGTTGGCAGCAGGCTCAGAGCTGCTGATTTGTCAGGGCTGTTCATCTTTCAGGGAACGTTCTCAGCTTGTGCTGCACCAGAACAAAGGGAGTCCGGAAGAGAGCGCTGCTGCTGTGACTGCTGCCACCACACTTGCTCTCCATTTCCAGCTTCAAGCACATAGACACAGCTCTGGCTGTGTCTGCAAACAGCAAACCACACAACCTCACAAGCAGGCGAGGAGGCAGAGGTGATTAATAGCAACAGCAGCAGCAACATCACTGCCGTGAAGCTAAAGAGGATGGGGACCAAGGGTGGCTGTGCAGTTGACAAGGCCAGGTTGGCGGCTGCAGCTGTGCTGCGGCAGCCAGGGGAGGAAGTGAGGCAGAGGCAGAGGAGCTGCTCACCTGCACCTCAACCCTCGTAATGCTGATGATGCTTCAAGGTGGGTATGAGAAAGCGAGGAGGAGGAAGGGATGGCATCAAAGGAAGGACACCCAACATTGAGCTTGCAAGTGAAGTAAGGGCTGCATTTTAAGAAGTGACATTTTGCACCCTTTTTCGTCCAAGGTCTGCTTTTTTATTCCAACTCTTACTATAGGGTAGCATTTTTGAAGTCAAGAAATACCGTATTTTTCGTTCTATAGGATGCACCCGACCATAGGATGCACCTTGTTTTAGAGGGGGAGAACAAGAAAAAAAAAATCTCCCCCTCTCTGCTCAGCGCCCCTTCAGCGAAGCGGCAGGAGAAATGGAGCCCCTTCCATTTCTCCTCCCGCTTTGCTGCAGGGGCACTGCGCAGCTCTGCTGAAGCCAGGATAGCCGCCTGAAGCCTTTGGAGCGCAGCGTGAGGTCCCGCTGCGCTCCAAAGGCTTCAGGCAGCTATCCCTAAAGCCTGGAGAGTGAGAGGGGTCGGTGCGCACTGACCCCTCTCGCTCTCCAGGCTTCAGCGAAAGCAATGCGTAGCCTCCGGAGCGCGGAGGGAGCACTCCCTCTGCGCTTTGGAGGCTTCGTGTTGCTATCGCTGAAGCCAAGGAGCCTGCATTCGCTCCATAGGACGCACACACATTTCCCCTTAATTTTTGGAGGGGAAAAAGTGCGGACTATAGAGCGAAAAATACGGTAGATACAAAAAATATAAAGCTACATGATCTCCAGCTTCTTCCTGGACAAAACAGACAGCGCAGTCTTATAACTGTCTTTTTGCCTCCTAAAACTACCAGCAAGGTAGAAAAGAGACACTAGACAAAAGCAATGTCGTACTTTAGATCTCCCTCCACCAACACAGGCACACTCCCTTGGTTGCAGTGCTTGTGCTCTTCCTTTCTGAATGGACTTTCTAACTTATTTTTATGTTAATGTTCAGGAAGCTTTAGTTGTCCACAGGCCTAAGCCTGATATTGAACTTGTCCTCATTTGCTCTCAAGTGAGAACTTTAAGAACTAAATTGGCTTTTGGTGGATCAATTTGTGACAAGTTTGCCAAATCTTATGAGTAATTTGTACTGCAATTCCAATGTGGTTCTAGTTTGTCATTCTCACTGGTGAAAAAGGCTGCACATCTTAGTTAACATTTGATATCAAGTGCTTCAGAAGAACCACAGGCAAATGCTAATCTTTGCCATCCTTAGCTGCTAGAGGTGGGTTTATGGCAGCTCTGATCTACAGGAAAATCTCAAGGAGATTTCCAGTATATCACCTTGGATGTCTTATTCCCAATTTTTTTACTAATAGCAGGGGGCAATGACTTCCCCCTCACCCAAACCTATACTGTTGAAATGAAGAAAGCCTGGAGTAACCAGGCATTGTTTCGTGTGTGGAAGGATTGTAAGTCTCAATCAAAGCCAATTCTTTGGCTTAACATTCTTTAATTATTATTTTTTTGGTCATTTGCACTGGGCTCTGGTCGGTTGATTTCAGGACTAAAAAAATGACCCCACAAGTCTCAAGTCTGATCACTATGTGGTGGCAGGTCTAATGTAAGATCCAGTGAGAAAGGGATAGATTTGGGGGTGATACAGCTTGAGAGAGAAAGGGTGGAAATGGGCATTTAATTTTTGTTCTTGATTCTCAACTCATGTGTATGGGTTATTTTAAGTAACTTATTTTATCATTTCAAATGCTCTACACAACATTTTCTTATGACCTTGGCTTAGAGGATCCTTGTCTATAGACCACAGATGCACGGATACTGATACTGGGAAACACCCCAGTACTTTGTCAGCAATCCATATGTTTTCTAAAAGTACGAGATTGGAACACCTGAAAGATTCCAAGCTGAAGAAATGTTTCACAGTTATTTCTTTGCAAGGAGGCTGAGCTATAAGCTGACATGTTTCAGTTATGTATACCTTTTCTATAGAAATGAAACATTTTTGTAGCCATTTTTGTAGATGAAACTGGCACTGCAAACTCAGACGCAAGAGGAGGGGAAACAAGAGCAGTCATATATGCTTCCTGCAAACTTTCTGCCTACCTGGACATTGGCAAAATCTACACGGTTGAGGTCATTGAGCATCTGGTTGATTTGAGACGTGTTCTGCAGTACAGCCCGTGCTGCCTGAGCCAGATGATTCAGAGATGTGTATCTTCGCAGAGTCTGAGCAAAGGCACTTACAGCGGCAACCTAAGGAGAAGGAAGACTAGAGCCTCAAGCACACAAACGCACAGAGATGAGACAGACCAGGACATTTTCACTCAGGTCTTATCTTCACTGAGATAGACCATGTTCACGCCTGTCTACCAACCTTTTCTTAGAAAGTAAGCTAATGAGAATGTGGCAGGTCCTGCTTGTGGGATACAGCAGTGCAAGAATAATACAGCCACACATCACAAAAGGTTTCCCCTGCCCTGCTCACGGGATAAGGCAGAGAAGAAGGTAAAGGCAAGGCAAGAGTTCTGCATAGGAGATGGAAATTGGAGAGACCCGGGAGAGGTAGTTCTACCTGAATTCATATAATCGTCTCCCATTCTCTGACAAGTACATAAGACCCTCTCTTGGACCTTCAGCATATAATGAAGAAGTACACAAGCAAATAAAGTGTTCAACACCGTGTCATTTAAAGCGCCTAGTTTTTGACATCTGTAGAAAACTATGTATGTTGTCAGTAATAATGAAGACAGGGTATAAATCAATATATACAGGTGCCCCCCCCCACATGGGGGTTATGTTCTGGGCACCCATGCGTATAAGTGAAATGCGTAAAGTGGGGAGCACCCTCCAAACACCCTTTAAACACCCTCTCTGTCACTCCCTCTTCAATCCATACCAGAAATACTGTATCTAGAAACATCCACAATGAGAGTTGAAGCTCTGGGGCCAGCAGGAGGCTGAAGGACAAAACCCCGCTGAGCCTCTGGTCTCTTCCTCCACCCCTCCTGACACCCTCTTCAGGCTCCAGGTCCTTGCGAGCCAAAAGGACTCTCCAGCTCTCTGCTGCCATTGCCAGGTTTGAATCAAATTATTTATTTCCCGGCACCATGCATATATGTGGTCATGTGCAAGTTGATCACACGTAAGGGGGGGACACTAATAATAATAATAATAATAATAATAATAATAATAATAATAATAAAATTAAATGAAGGCTAAATTTTGCATGGTCTTCTTTAAAGAGATGCTTCTGGCATTGACTCTTAACAATTATGTTTTATTTGTGTCTCTGCAATGTCATTTTTGTTCCAAATTGTTTAGAAGGCATTTACCTTGGTTTGAATCATTCTCTGTGGAATATTGTTCATGGCATTGGAAAGCCAACCTTCAAGGCTTTTTGCAAAATTGCGAATGGCTTGGGTCAAGGCACCTATGCATAAAAGAATACAAAACAAATGAAAAAAAAGTCAAGGCATGTAGGTATTTAAAGATCAACGTCCTTGACTATTACAACTACAGAGAACAGCGAGGGAGCAAATGATAACCATGATAGGAACAATTAGTATAAATCCCACATAGAATTAAAGGTAGTACTACAGCCATCGAACAATGACTATCTAATGTTCGTGGTTCCAGTTCTCACCGAGGCAGTAAACCTCTATCTTGACTGTGCCACTTCAGATGGGAAGAAAGCACCATTTTGGGGGAGGAACACTCCGCCATGGGAGTCAGCACCAGTACAGCTCACTCTCACAGGTTCACTCTTGCACTAAAGACTAGACCTAAAGAAGGGGAAGCAACAGATCACTGCCTAACTGCACAGCAGGTAGGAGAGAACAAGCATTGCAAGATCCACTCTAGACTGGAAGTACATCGTCAGATAAAGGCCTAGATCTTGCCGCTGCTGTGCAGTTACAGTGCAACATGGCAATGCTGGGTTTGCACCTAACAGTAACTTGTGATTTGAAGTTGTCCCGTTTAGAAACTAAGCATTGTTTCTATGATCCGCAGTTTGTACGTAAATCTAAACTGAGATTCTTTGAAAGGACTCAACTTGGCAGAAGTCATCCTGCTGCTGAGAGGAGGACAATGTGTGAGTTTGGTGTTTGGCTTGAGCTCCTGATGGCTCATCCACACAGTGCTAAATCATGGCTGAGTGTTACATGTGATCCAGGCCAGTGACTCTTCTCTGAAATATTGATATTCACCCTGGGAGAGGGAAAGTACGACCTTTTAGACTGGTACTAACACAATTATGCAAACTGATTTTTATGTAGTATTTCTACTGATTGTTTCAATACAAATCTGTGTTATGCATTCTAATTTTAATTTTTATTGTGACTCTTTTAAACCAAGCACTCCTAACATTCTCAGGCAGTTGTTAGATTTTTGGGTGTCGCTTGAATGTCAGTCAACCTCACTGAAAGTCTCTGCTTTTCTTAGAGTTTATTGATGCTTTAAAACACATTAAAAACTCTGTTTTTAAAGTGAGCACACACAAACTAACCCTACCTATTCAGTGACTCTTTAAATATCTATGGAACACAAACACAGACACTTTCTGTCTCACCACAATTTAGGGAGCCTCTTTATGTACCAACAAGGGGACATATTTCATGATTTCAATTCAGACACTTTTAACTAATGACACATTTATAAACTAGATCAACAGCATAAAGCATGCAGTTTGCCTATAAAATTATAACCATGCACCCAACCGATAGAAATGGGAGTCAACTCCCATCATAGAATGGCATTAGAATCTGCCTTGCTGTTTGTCATGCCCTAATTAAGCATGTACACTGTCTTAATTAAAGAGATGGGAAAGTTTATAAAATTTTCAGTAGGTTTCTGGCTTAAGAATAGTGGTGGAACAAGGATATATGCTGAGACATCTAGCACTGGGATAAAGAGATAGGAAATTTGTAATTAAAATTTGACTTTCCCTGTATCTTATTTGCTTTCATTGATATGGGAGTTAGTAAAACTACTGTTTTAACATTTGAAAGAAGCAATGTCAAAAGAATAAGGTAAGCAGATCATTCCCCCTTTTCCAAATTTTCCTGTATAAGAGCCATTGCTGATGCGCTCAAATGACACCATCCACGCATAACGTGGACAGATCAGTTTGTTGCAGGTGTATGTAGAAGCACAAAAAGAAAGCTTGAGGGAAAAACACCAAGCTCTCTCCCCGCAGCAAAAAGCTGAATGAGAAATGGGCCATTGAATGGTGACTGCTAGGGTGGAAAAAAATGAATCTGAGGTGGGGGGGGTCTCTTGTAGGACAACATGGCTCACTAACTAGCACAGAGAGCAGGAACAGTATTTTGTTGCATGTCTGACTTGTGTAACTTTCTAGGAGTAAAATGGAAAGGGTAGGCTTCTCCATCCTTCTTCTCACATGCCCCCCTCCAAGGCTGTGGGGAGGGGGCTCTCATAAACACGCCATAAGTCACAAGAGCCATTTGAGCGAAAGAGCAGGCACATACAGCACCTCTGAAGATGCTTGAGGTTCTCTAGATTCTGGCTCATGTAGATGACCAAGGGCAGCATCCTGTCAATTGCACACTTCAACACCTCAGTGCACGGTGCTAAATAAGTGTGAAACACTAGCTAAATATTAATTACTAGTACTAAAACCGGTCATAGTAGTTATCCATAAAAAGCTCTGTGCTCTTTTAAAATAGCATGAATCATATTGAAGTTCAATTACAAATGAGGCTTGAACAGCTCCATAACACCTACCTATGAAATAACCAGTCTGTTAAAACACACAGCACATTTCTTTCTACAGAGATATCAGACTTATCTAAGGGAATCATGCTTCCATTGCTCTTCAGTTCTTTTCTAAGGTTTTAAATTGATTTCAACTGGAGTGTGTGTGTTGGGAATGAAAAGCAGGATATAAATATTTAAATAAATCAACCAAAATTACAATCTGCACACATGACTATCCTCAATCACTGCAGGGGAATAAATAGTTTTTAGATGTGTGTTTGTCTATGCGAAAGAAAGAAAAGCAAACACACAGGTAATGTTAGATAGTTGAGGATTATTTAAGCCCCACACATATATGAGTACTGAACAAAATATCTCTAACGTGATTTCAAATTGTCCCTGCATAGTGGTACTAACATATGATACCAAAAAAAGCAAGAAAATATTTGTATCAAGGTTTTAGCACTCAAAAAGAAGTCCCACCCCCCAACTACCAGAAATAAACTATACAAAAAGGACAAACTGAATTTCCAGGTTTCTGAAGATTTCAGAAGGGGTTCCAATTTGAATTTCATAATTCCTCTAGATTTGTACCAAATCTTTACAATAAAAGTTTATTTCGGTAACAACTATATGAAAAACGGTCTGTTTTCTTTTAAGCATTTATGAAGCTAAGTATTAGAAAGAAAGATACTCTGCAGGACACAGTGTTTAACTGGAGTGACTACAGAACCCTGCACAATCAGGGTCAAAAACTGCACAGGGAGACTCTAGAAGAGGAGATTTGTTGCTGCTAACCTTTGCCTTCTAACTTATGGCAGGCTCTCAATGCAGGAACAGGAGAGTGCTGGGGGGCAGGACTTGAACATGTGGCCCCCCCCTTTGGATGAGAAAACTAGTGCCCTGGTGCTCTTCCAAAATCTGCTCAGACATGTTTATCGGGCCAACCTCTTCTCCAAAAGAGTTGACTTCATTTCTGTGCAATTTCACTATCCTCCTTGCACAGCATTGTTGTCTAACAGTCCAACCACCTCTCTTGCAGGATTTGGGTTTCGATTTACCGGTATTTAGAGGGGTTTGGGGTTGTTGTTGTTTTTAATCATCCTAACACCCTAATGTTTTTAGCCATGTATTCTTCAAAAAATATAGCCAGGGAACACTGACAGATTTTCCTATAATGGTAACGGACAATTGGTCGGAAATGTAGGAGAGGAAGATCTACAGAACTACAGAGGGAGGCCTCTTTTGTCACCAGCCATCTCTCGTTGAGGGGGGAGTCTGAGCAGGGCTTTGAAGCACCTTCAGCTGGACACGCTTGCAAGCCCCTTTCCCAATGTGCCTCTGCCCTCCCTCTAGCTTAAGCTCTCAAGCTTTCTTTGGAATGCAGACATAGGACTTAAGGCTAGAACCAACAAAAAGTTCAAAAACGTTAATGGGGCAACAAATAAAGTTACTTCTCTGGTGTTCAAAGAGCAGTATTTGGGGCCTAGGAACATGACTAGATGTTTGTGATGGCTTTCGACAATATTTTGTCGCATTTGCAAGGTTCAGTTACATATGCAAATTTATTGTGAATCAAATGCGGCAACCATATTGAGGGTGAAACCAGTATTGGGTCAAAAGGCAGTGATTTTTGGACCACTCTTATCTTCTGCTCTCAATGCTGAACAATTCTCCATTTTTCTATGCTGTACCTTTGAATCTAATCTAGTATTTTCTATCAGAAACTCATTTACTTAAAACATTTAATAGCCATCACTTTGCTTTGAGATGGTTTAGAAGTAGAGCGACAATGAAAACAACATTTTTTTAAAAAAAAACATGCTCCATCATGGCAGCTTTGGTTCAGTTAACAAGACTTCAGTTCCTTGAAAGGACCAAATGCAAGAGTGTGAAACTCAAATAGACTGTAGGACCAAACTCTTCACCTGGCAAATACCCAAAGGCCACATTCGTACTCTTTCCACAGAAGTCAACTGCACTTGAGTTCAGCACCAAAGGGTTATAAATTCCATCTCCATTGGACACTAACATCTGAAAAATGGCTCCAGGCCCTGCCGTTTAAGCTCCTTGCCCACATGCGACCAACCGCCCTCCTCCATCCACCACTTGGCAACTTGGCCTGACTTTCCCCATCTACTCCATGCACTTTCACATCTGGCAAATGGCCAGGGCTCCACTCCACTCCATGCCAAGGCACTGCACCCCCCGCCATGCCCCCTGTTGGCACTGTTACCACTCAACTAGAGGCAGGAAGAAAGGCTGCTGCCATTTGCAAACCAGCCCATTTGCCCTACAAGGGCACCAATGTCCAACCCTTGAAGACAGTTCACTGGCTTATATAATGCGGCAGGAATCCCCAATGTGGTCCAAGGCACACTTCAAGGGTCTCTCGGTGCTTCCCAACCTTACATTTGACCCCTCTGATGTAAGAAATAGGTATGACAGTCCAATATTTTGAAAAAGAAATTTGCCTTGAAGGATGGAGTCTTGCCTGACAATGTTGATTTCATTACACATCCATCTTGCTTATAAATTGGGGGGGGGGCTTTTTCTGCAATATTGATTGAGGTAACTATGATTCTTTGATCTTTAAGACAGGAACTCAAACTACTATTTCATAATTCAAGAGGAAATCAAATCAGTAGTTAAAATGCAACTTTCAAATATCCTAGAAATTCTTTTCTTGGATCAATCTCTTTTCTCCTTTGACATTTCTGACTTCTACTGAAAATGGCTTTGTATTTTACAAAGAAAACAAGCAGAAGGTTGGCAAACCACCTATAAGTAGTGAGAGGATACCCAAGGAACATTGACCCTCCCCCCCACCCCCAGTGAGGAGTTTTTGGTAGCTATCTGAATTAAACCTGGTTGGCTTTGTCTTATTCAAGAACGGTTCTGAGGGTGTTGAATTGTCACCCATAAGAGTCTCCGTTTCACAACCCATGCTACTACACAAATTTCAAACAAAATCCTTTCATGCCTGTTGTTTCACTGCATGTTTCAAAAGCTAAGCAATTGTCACACATCTGCATATATCAACTCTCTGAATATCAGAAAAATGTAGAAGGCATTATTGACATTTAGACTGTGTTTTATAAGAACACTCAGGTTTGCGCCACAAGTGATATAAATAGTAAGGTTCCTTCTGTCTTGTTTGCAGGTGAAGGGCAGTAGCATGTTCTTGCAAAATTGGATATGCATTTTTTCTGAACATTTTGTAACAACTATAACAACTCAGTAGCTTTTATAATCCCTTCAAGAGAAAATAGTTTTGTTCGCTCCTGGTCTCTTTGAGGCATGAGTGCATCTAACTGAACTACAAAATAATTGTTCACAGAAAGAACACAATGCTTGTGCAGTTATATGGATTTCCTCCCCCGCAGAAACCGTTAACCTTTATTGTTAATGGGAAATAAATTCCTAAGTATTTATCACAGTGCCCAGAACACATATAATGTTTTATAATGGAAATCAGCTTTGCTAGAACCCAAAGTAAATCACTTTCTATACCAAACAAGAACAAACTACACTGCAACAATCTGAATAATTCTATGTCTAAAAGGGAAATTTTCATAAGTATAACTATTTGATAATGGCTGTCTAGCTGAAGTGTAATATTTACAATTAGATGGTGAGTCTACCCTGTGAGACACTCCTGGCTTTTTAAAATAAAAGATTGAGTGACTAGAGAAATGAATGAGGAAAATAAAATGTTAGTCTCACATTTCTTATGATACAGTTAACTAATAAGATTTGCAACCAACTAATTCCAGTAAATCTTTTATAAGTAATATGTTCAAGTGGATTCAAATGCTCAACTAACATGTTTAGCACGGTATCCCTCTATAGGCACCAGGGCAAACTCTGATCCAACCATACAGAGAGACAAATGTGCAATCAGGTTATATGTCAGTAAAACCAGGCCACTGAAAAGCTACTTTTCAGTTCTGATTACTTATTACCCTGACATGTTACACAACTGCACAAGTGCCACTATGTGCTTGGTCTTCACCTTGCTGAATTCAGTGTAAAACAAAAGTTGACATAGACACAGACTGTATCTGGACATCATGCATAGATCATAGTTCCTGATGAGAATGAGGGGCAACGGACCTTGTGTTTGGGGAGCCTTTATTTCCAATTTCAACTAACCTCCATTTAGCCCGTCATCCAAACTCTAAACTGTTGTTGTTTAGTCGTTTAGTCGTGTCCGACTCTTCGTGACCCCATGGACCAGAGCACTCTAAACTATGGCTTGTTAAAACATACCCGTTTAAGAACAAATGGTTTGAAGTTTGCTATTTTCAACTGACAACAGGTTGGGATGACAGGGAAAGCTGCAATTACGCTAAAGAAGAAACAAAAGCTTCTGAATTCCATGGCCACAAAGCAGGCGGATTGGGCACCCAAGCCCAGAGCTCATTGTGGCTTATTCTCATCACATTTAAGCTACAGCTACAGTGTCATTTGAACAGAACTACGTACTCAAGCCTTCAACGTTTTAATGTTATCATGCGGACTAGAGGAATTGCTCAAAAAAATGAGGGGGTTTTCGTTATGACAAAGCGTGCATTACCAGGGCAGCCAAAAACAGATATATACCACAAGCATGTTGAAAGCTACTTTTTTTCAAAACCACAGAGTTATATTTTAAGCAGTATTTATTATTTTAAGGTATACCTTTATAACATGTAAATAAAGTGAGCACACCCACGCTACTTCTGAAGTCTTTAAAGTCACTCCTACAGGTTTCCTTGGGAATTACTGAAGTCACAAGATCACCAGAAGAAAAAGAAATCCTTACAAGACGTCATCTATAGTCAACTTACTAGGAATAGGTCTAAGGACGTCAGGAATGAGAATCTCCACCAAAGTCTGGTACATCACATGGTCACAGTTACACATCCATTTCAGAATTGACTCATTTTTGCACAGAGTAATCAGCTTTGCTTTCGGAAGTCGACTTTCTATTTCACTCAGATTGCTGGTGTGAACAAATGTATCAAATGAATAAATGAAAATGCATTTACATGAAGATAAAAAAGAAGAACAATGGAATTCAAAGTTTTTAAAAATAAACATTAGGAATGTCTGAAACGCATCCAACTGCCCTGAGGCACTTAGTGTTGTAATAATGGCTGGTACATGGCCTCCAGAGCTTTAGTCAAAGAGCAGCAGTGATAAGAATGGTCTTTGGATTGGATATTATTTCATGAGAAAATAACTGGGCCTCTTCCCATAAAATAAAATGGTATGCGTACAAATATAAACTGCAGTTATCATAACATGGCAATTTAATCTAGTAACGAACTGCAGAGATAGCATTCCTATTTAGTATGTAAATTTTAGATTTCTATTTTATTTGAAAACAGCACTAAAACTATTCATAAACTTTGAATAAAAGATTACCAACCTTGGTTCAGTAATGGTAGTGCCATCGGTTGTTGTTGAGGGAGAATAGCGCCAGAAAGTCTGCCACAATTTTTCTATTAGGCTAAACTGAAGGTTCACTACAACATCCAATATTGCCTAAAAACACAACACAGATACCGGTATTCTTTAACAGAATGCATGAAAAATATTGAGCGGTCTGTCTGCAATCCTGAATACTTAAGGGAGCATGATCTACTGAATTCGGCGGGACTTCTTTCTGAGTAAACATGCTTAGGATGTATCAAAGGACGTATCAATTGTCCAGGATTGTGTATTTTGAATTTAGTTAATAGAATATTCATAACTAAAATTTTAACACAACAGCAAACCAAAGACGGACACATTTGGCATCGGCATATTGCTGATCTATTCTCAACTGTCCTGGGTGGGTGAAAGCAAGCAGAAACGCTCTGTATTTTGGCCCACAACCACGTTTTCCAAACACACACAAATTTAGCAAGCATAATGTTAATTCTCTTCACAATATTCTGCTTTTCAGGCAATGGAGAGCCTCCTGTATCTGATGCATTCCTGTGTATCATCCCATCATGAGCCCTTAGGGTCTGCATGAGAGGAAGCCATTGTCAAATCCTCCTTTCTTACCTCACAGTGCTCTCGATAGAGACTCTGCAATGACTTAATATCCTCAAAAGTAGTACCATCTGGCAGAGAAGAGATTTCAACTTCTCCGAACTCTGGAAGTGCTCGAGATGCATCTGTTTCCATGGCAACACAATGAAAGAAAAATATTGCAGTGTGTGTCAATCCCACTTTAATTAGGGAAACATTTAATGATACAAAGAAATAAATATCAGAAAGGTCACAAAGTGTTGGACTAAAAATTGAGAAGGTGTAAGGTTTTTATGTTTAATAGGTTGCAATTAAAAAGGAATCAAAATTTTATTCTTCTAAATTAAAAATCTTAAGCGAAGGGAGCCAGATCTGCTAAATTGTATGTGCTCGATCCATAGGAATTAAGAAATACTTACACAAATTCTAGGATTTCTGACTGAATGAGAAGCTTACTTCTTTGAATGTTTAAACCAGCTGTAATCATACTAAGATCGAGTGGTGCATAACTTACCTGTCTGAAAACCTAGTTAAAACTGTGAATAGACAAGAGGCCTGAATTTAGAGATAGATGAGCAGAACTCTGTGGGTTCAATGGGACTTCCTGCCCCCCGTAGCCCCCTGAAAAGCCTCTCCGGAGGGTGGGGGTCCCTCTAGAAGGGGGCAGGGGAAGGGCAGGCGGCAGTGTCATGGGGAAAACTCAAAAGGGCTGCCTTCCGTAAGTGCTTTCCTGCCTGCTCACATAAGGCACATGGATCCAATGCAGTGAATACACACATTTTAATATACCAGTTGATATTTGCTTCTTTTAATTTAGTACAGTGCCTATTGCCTATGTAGTTACCATATTTTTTTCTCTACAAGACACACCAGACCACAAGACGCACCTAGTTTTTGGAGGAGGAAAACAAGAAAAAAAATATTCTGAATCTCAGAAGCCAGAACAGCAAGAGGAATCGCTGCGCAGTGAAAGCAGCAATCCCTCTTGCTGTTCTGGCTTCTGGGATAGCTGCACAGCCTGCATTCGCTCCATAAGACGCACACACATTTCCCCTTACTTTTTAGGAGGGAAAAAGTGAGTCTTATAGAGCAAAAAATACGGTATATTTCCAGACATATCTATGTATTATTGCATATTATACAAGGTCTTTAGGGAAAACAACGAGCAAATTATAGCTGGATTTTACCTAATTATAGGTGGTTTCACTATTACATGTGAAGTTCAATTGTGTCTTAATTCAATGACAATTATGTTAGCAATATTAAATAAGTATACTTCATGTATGTATGGTAGTAGTTTTTGGAACATATTCCCAGTCTATATCCATGTAGTAGAACTTGTGACACTAGCCTGGCTCAGCAAGGGATTCCAAGATGCTCTCTATCAAAGGTGTGATCAGGCCACACGGGCTGAGGGTACAGATAAATAAGTCTGAAGTATTTCATCCCATATATTGTCAAAATAGTATGTATGTGCAAAGACAACAGTCCCACCGATTCTTTGTATGAGACTTGGCCGCAAAGTCATGGTAAGGATATGAATTTCTTTGTTTCTAGAATGAATGACAGCTTTAATTAAGCTCAATACCATTGTTAGAAACTTAATATTTGCATAATGTTAAACTCATACAAATGGTTACACTCCACAGTTAGTTAGCTCTGGATCAGCTTCAAGAAAACCTTTGTTCTGATTCTTAACTAACAACTATACAAGTTATTTTTCTTTGGACACTAGTACAATATTCTTCCTACATACCCAAAAACTGTTGATGATGTTGACTTTGAGCAATTACAGTTTGTTCAACAGATGTGCCTGTCTGTTGACCACTTGTTGTGAAACCGTCTGTGACTCCATCCACTTTCTGCATAGGCTTGTACCTAGAATATATCACATGCAACAAAGGACAAAATTATCCTTTTCTTTCTCCATCTCTCAGACTATAAAGTTGATTTTAGCAACACCTTGTGACATAGCTGGCAAACGTTGGTTAAAAATTTATCAAGAAACTCAAATTTATGCTGGGGGGAGGGGAGAGAATTATGATTATCCAAAGCTGTACTTTGATGTTCTGATCAATCCACAGAACTGCACCTTACATAATTTTTCAGTAACAGTCCAAACACTTGGATGCTGAACTTGTTTATGTATTAGGTAAAAACAAAACCCACTGGCTCACTTTTTTTTTCTGGCTCACTTTTTTTTTTAGTACACAAAGTTAGCAGTAAAAGTAAAGGTGACTATCTCAGTTTCCTCAATTCCCACTCATTTTCTGTACCACTTTTCCTTAGCCTGTTTAACCTAAGCAACTGCATTTGATTTCCTGGAAATTAAATCTGGGAAGAAGCAACACACACATAACTTAAAGTGCGTGTAGCCATGACAGTTTGCATTCACTTAACTCTGCACTATATTACACACATATGGACAATTACTTAATTAACATAGTACTGAATGAGTCCAGATTTTTGGCAGTCGCCCAGATTGCACATGTTGATTCTAACACAAACATCTTTGGGCTGTTTACTTTAAAAGGATGGTGCTATACAATTTACTGCTTTCCATCATCTGACTTACTGATTAATGCAGTTAGTCTAATAAGGAAGTCAACCCATGAACATGAACTCAGCAACAGGAACCATGAAATAAAAACAAAACTGTCTGAGGGCTACAACTATATATCACAATGAAGGGTTTTAATAATGGAATAAAAGTGACTTGCAGTACCACAGTCAGCTGAATCTTGTACATTTGCATGCCCATCCCACTCCTTCAACCTCAAATCTTTCTCTATGTTAGGAACGTTCTGAACTTTGCAAATTAAAGGCACACACAGATAAAAACTGGTGGTCGTCATATGAAACAGGCAGCTAATTTTAGTAATTTAGCAACATTGAGGAAAAACATTAGCGCAAAGCATAGTGATCAATAAAACAATGTTGACTCAATATGAATCTTTGTGGGAAGACAGAAACTAAATTAGCAATGAATCATCATTTTAGAACTATTTCTCACAAGTAGGGCACAAAAGAATGTTTGTCATCATTTGCAGTTGTCGTAGATATTAAGATGTTAATTACTGAATGCTACCTCTCAATATGTACTGATTTACTATTACAGTAAAGTAGCACCTGAACATCAGGAAGCGCACTATTTAAATAATGAGAGATCTCTATATAACTAATCTGAAAGAACTGTTATTCGGATTATTTTCCAGGCATTTTGACTACCTACAACAATTTAAAAAGTTGGGAGTAGTAAAGCATCTGAGATATAAAATGCCTTTTCGAGTAAATTTTCTAAGAAACGGCTGGAAAGAAGCATGTGGAATTTGTCTCCTATGCACATTATGGTGGTCTCTAATTGCAGAGTCGCTGAGAAAGAAAAGTTAAAATGATCCAAATTTAAATGAGTTGTGCTTGCTTTCTCCAGTGAAACAAAAGAACATGTGCACTTTCCACTGAAGATGCTGCTCCCAGCAGTGCAGGAAGAAATAAAAAATAAAGTTCTCCCAAATAGATCATTGGTTTCAGGATGCACTTCTTTTGTTGTTGTTGTTGTTTAGTTGTTTAGTCGTGTCCGACTCTTCGTGACCCCATGGACCAGAGCACGCCAGGCACTCCTGTCTTCCACTGCCTCCTGCAGTTTGGTCAAACTCATGCTGGTAGCTTCGAGAACACTGTCCAACCATCTCATCCTCTGTCGTCCCCTTCTCCTTGTGCCCTTCATCTTTCCCAACATCAGGGTCTTTTCCAGGGAGTCTTCTCTTCTCATGAGATGGCCAAAGTATTGGAGTCTCAGCTTCAGGATCTGTCCTTCCAGGGAGCACTCAGGGCTGATTTCCTCCAGAATGGATAGGTTTGTTCTTCTTGCAGTCCATGGGACTCTCAAGAGTCTCCTCCAGGACCATAATTCAAAAGCATCAATTCTTCGGCGATCAGCCTTCTTTATGGTCCAGCTCTCACTTCTTTTATCTTCCACCTAATGGCTATTCCAGTCTTACTAAAGCCCTGCCTGAAGTGGCCATTGCAAATCGATCTGATCTGCCATTGGCCTCCGTGAGCTTTCAGGTTCCACCAATATTTCCCCATAACCCCCATGGAAGAACATTTGCATCCCCATCTCATTCTCCCCATTCCTTCCACTCTCTGGATGTTCTCCTGGTTTTTCTGGGATCTCTCTTTTCTCCACCCTGCCTCAGCTTCCTTCCTTGGACCTCCGACTGGGGCCTGACATTTCTCTGCTCCTTCAGTCACTAGGCATCCTGGTCTTGTTTTTCTCAACTTCCTCATGAAAAGCCCCCCCCCCCCCCGCGCTTCATCCTCGGACTCTTCTTCCTACCTGCAGCAACACTGAATGCGACACTTGCACAAGAATGAATACCTTTCTCTCCTCCTTCCTTCCTTCCCTGCTCTGTGGCACTTAAGTAGATTCAAATATAAAGTCAATCCATGCACTGGGGTTTCATCAGATATCCCCACAACACAGAGACTAAAAACGCCCAGCTCTTTACAGCATTGCCTTTCTAGCAATGGCTAGTGAGATACCATCCCAAAAGAAAATATCTACTGCCCAATAAAACTGCCATGGCCTAATCCGCTGAACAGGGCTGACCTGCAAAAAGAGATAGACAGATTTGCCTACTTTCAGTCAAGATCACATTTGCATGTGTTGATTCATAAGTCAGCAATCGAAATCTGCCTGGAAAAAGTTGCATTTAAATACATACTTGCATGTATTTTCTTATGAAATACCCTCAGGTTTAGGGCGGTATATAAATTCAGTAAATAACAACAACAACATTTTCTCATAAAATACAACATTTCTAAACTTATTCTATCTTAAAATATTAATTTTAAAATCTTTTTCTGCATGTTTTTTGAGCTGAGAGCTGCATCACAAAATTGGGAAATGTGCAAACTTTGAAGGATATTTACTCGTGTGGGAGATGCAGCTAAGTTCTTACTGGAATTCTCAAAGTGCTAATGTCTTAAGCATTCCTTGTTTTTAGAAACTTGAGTTTCGATACACTCTAGACTCAATTGTTCCATTAGGCATGTTCTGTTTCTTAGTTCCTCTGACAAACCAGTTACAGGAAGGAACACTTGAAAATGTTATTTGGTGTTATTGCTGCATATTTATTCACTCTAGAAACATAGTGGAAGTGCACAAGTATGGCTGAGAGAAGTGGGTGCTACCTTTTAAAACACGGAAAATGGCAATCCTCCTATTTGCCTTGCTACAAATGTTACAATTTGCCTTCCTACAAATGTTACATGCTGTCTCTAGTTGCTTTGTAAGAGTATCTTAAAAAATAATAATTTGACAAGTAAATGGATATGTGCTACTTGAAAAAAGCAAAATGTTCAGAAAGTGCTCCTCAGCTCACTAAGGGAACTGGCTCAGACGTACATCAACTCAGTTTGGAAATAATGTGAGGAATTACACTAGATTCGCCCACGGCTATACCAGATGCGTTCAAGTGGAGATTCTGGCCAGAATCCAGTGACCACTTTAGGTAGGATGGAGTCATGCTGCTCTTTTACAAAGCTAAATAAAATTATGGTTGTACGCATGGATCTCTCCTTCATTCCCACACCCTGCATTGAGACTTCTGACCAGACCTGGAATTAATATGTTCAAAGGACTTGTTTTGAATAACATTTCCCTTTTTTGATGTAAGCAGTTTACACCACAACACAATCCTTCATAATTTCAAATGGTGCATCACAAATTCTGTATACTGTGCATTAATGCTCTAAGTTAAAAGCAGCACAAAGCATTCATAAAGTCGTGTTTACTTTACTTCCTTCCCGACCCATCCTGCTTCCACAACGAACATCCACTTGTGCAAATGAGAGTTACCCTCCCTGCCCTCCTGTTTTGCAGCCCGCCAGGCACCCCCAAAATCTGCTCTGGAGCACTGGAAGACCTTCCACAACAGATTTTTTTCATCGGGGGGGGGCAGGGAGGAAGGGAAATGTTGTCATGTCTGCCGGCATGGCATTGGATCTCAGCTTTTTTTTTTTTTTTTTAAAAAAAATAGCATTCCAAACTTAGCCATAGGGTGGCACACATAATTCTATCTCCTCTCATTAAAGGCCAAATTCTCTTCTTAAGTTTAGGAGATTCTAGAAACACAAACACTTTTACATTTAACCACTCCTCACTCAATTTTGATACAAAAATATGAGATAATGCCCTTAAGCAAAACTATTTCTCTCCAGATAAAAGGTGGTTTGTTTGTTTGTTTGTTTTTATACCAACCTTCATGAATAATAGTCACAGGCCAGCTTTTGAAAATAAGGTAATATAAAAACCTAACACAAAATAAAGAGAAATATGAAAATAATTCTCAGAAATTACATAATTAATAACATTACAAAAACCACTTAACGCATCAGCATCTAAAAGCCCAACCCAAAAGGTAAGGTTTTACGTAGTGTCTAAAAGGGTGTAAGATTGAGGCAACTGCAGGTAAACTTTCAGCTAGAGAAGTTATGTGGTCTAATAAAAGGAGAGGTTACTGCTCCCTGACTAAACACTCCCGCGATAGAGAGATGCAGAAAAAGATGCTGGTTTCTAAGAGGTCTGGTCAGCTTGGCAGGACTATACCTTTGTTTCTGCTGCATGGGTTGCTGTCTCATAGCCATATATTGCATGTCCTCTTGTAGCCGATTTAGAGGGGAGTCTGGCTTGACACGAATCCCATAGTAATGATATTTGGAGTTCCCCCTTTGGGAAAAAGCAAATATTAAAAACAAGGGAATGTACACAACCTAAACGCAAATGTGATCCCTTTGGGTTGTTCTTAAATATTTTAGATCTGAATTGTATCTCAGACTGTTGTTCAATTTGGCTGCTTTCCTCTGAACTGTGCAAAAATAATCCTATGCAGCCAATTTAGTCCCAGCAGAATGGAAAGCTAGCTGAGTATTAGATATTCACTTAGTTACAACTGCAAATATTTCACAATCATTTCACATATTGGTCTCTTGACAAGGTTTTTACCACTCAAATAGAAAATGGCCCAAACAGCAGGGGACTGTAGATTACTCTAATGATTATGGAATGTATTTAGCTTTATACATAGTTAGTTGGCTTGATCTCAGAATGTCAATAGAATTTAAGGAGGCTAAGTGCGTATAGGATTTCAACCAGTGTTACTAATTTATGAAAGAGAAGGGATGATGGAGTGGGGGAGAGAAATTGCAATTATTTTGTCTTTAACTATTTATTGTAAGTTTCCTTTTGTGACAAAAACTTAAGATCAAAAGGAAGTTGCTCACACTGGGCAAAAAATTCGCAAGCAATAATGCAAGGACACCATTTTCACGGGGACCCACTTTGTGCCCCCCCCAAAGTGGGATGAACAAATGCTGTGTATATGGTGGCCACCCAAAGGCAGCCACCTTTGCATATACTTGGCACAGGTCTCCTCTCTCTCTCCTCTGAGGGTGGTACGAGGGACTGAGCCTGGGAGACCAGAGGGAGATTTACTCACTGCCTATATAATCATAACTGTTGCTATGTTCTGGATATGGGGCATCATCTCCAGGTGTCAGTCTGGATCCTTAAAGAGGTGTGGGGTGAGCACACCACCCTCTAACTCAAGAAGAGCCACCTTAGTCAAGAGGTCTTCTCCGAGACCAGTGCCATGTCCTCAAGTGTTCAGTTACAGTGCTGGGGGCACTCTTATACAGTGGTTCAGCTCCTTCCTCCTGGGCCGTGTCCAGAAAGTGGGGGGCGGGATGAGTGTTCAGACCCCTGGGCGCTCACTTATGGGGTGCCTCAGGGTTCTGTCCTCTCTCCCATGCTTTTTAACATCTATATGAGGCCGCTAGGAGAGATCATCAGGGGGTTTGGGCTGGGTTTCATCAATATGCGGATGATACCCAGCTCTACCTCTCTTTTAAACTGGAAACAGTGAAGGCGATGAAGGTCCTGTGTGAGTGCCTGGAGGCGGTTAGAGGATGGATGGCGGCTAACAGATTGAGGTTGAATCCTGACAAGACAGAAGTACTGTTTTTGGGGGACAGGGGTCGGGCGGGTGTGGGGGACTCCCTGGTCCTGAATGGGGTAACTGTGCCCCTGAAGGACCAGGTGCGCAGCCTGGGAGTCATTTTGGACTCACAACTGTCCACAGCGGCACAGGTCAATTCTGTGTCCAGGGCAGCTGTTTACCAGCTCCATCTGGTACGCAGGCTGAGACTCTACCTGCCCGCAGACTGTCTCGCCAGATTGGTGCATGCTCTAGTTATCTCCAGCTTGGACTACTGCAATGTGCTCTACCCACAGGCAGGCTGAGCAAAGCACATCTTAGGACATGCCTATTATCAGAAGTAGAATCCCTGTCTGTGTGCCATGCCTTCCTGCAACCAGCTGTATCCAAAGAAGCTGTGGGCTGCCTTTCTTCAGTTAATGATCCTGCCTGAATCTGGCACTACAGGCACAAGTAGCTCATAAGTCCTTCACTATTATTCTATGTAAGTTTGTTCACATTCCACATGCTGCTGGTTTCATCCATATGGCAGCAATTGAAACATTTACTGTAGAGCATTCAAGGCATACAATCAGCTGTGACAATACACAAAGTACCCTTGTATTCTGAAATGCGTGTTATCTGGGCTGTTGACGTTTCTTACACAGGCTGAATCTGCAAACCGTACACCTTTGTTCCAAGGACAGCTTGCTTGAAAGGGGGCTGATTCATTCAGAAAAATGAGGTGTAACATTTGGAAAAATGGACAGAAGCATTTTGTCCATATTTAATCTAAGGCCATTTGTTAAATGAAGCACCTTACATGCTGCAATGAATAATATAGCTTGCATGTACTAATTAATATATGTACCTCTTAGAATGCTTGATAGAAGCTGGTGCTTTGGCAATGTCTTAAAGAGCAATATGGGAGAAGAAAGTGCTTAATACACATTTTAATGAACTGGGCAGTACATTTAGACAATTGCACAAACTTTGTTTTTACAGCACTTTGTTGTGGGAGTTGCACCACAACCTTATTCCAAACAGCAGTGTTCTAGTTTAGAGTTCTAGTTGGACTCTCTCTCAGTCTAACCTACTTCACAGGGTTGCTGCGAAGATAAAAGGAGGAGGGATGAGGGGGAACCATGTAAACTACCTTGAGCAAGAAGGAATATATAACTAATAAGTAATATTACAAGATACAGTTAATAAGCAGTCATTAACAGCCTTATCCTGCAAGAACAAATTAGTGGTGGTGAACACAGATACTGTGATTGAAAATTCCATGGTTTAATTCTGTGCTATGTTAAAAGACCTTGCCTGTCCTGAATCTCCCACCATAAGGTTCACAGAATTGCCCTTTGCTCTAATATTATGAGGGCAAGAAAAACATCTCTTCATCCACTTTCTCCACTCATCTATAAAGCTCTATCACGTCTCCTCTGACTAACCACCAGACTGCCAATCACTGGCCAATCACTGCAAACTGAGACTGGAGGGAAGGGGGGCTTTAGGTCTTTTTTAAAAACAAAAACAAACCAACAACATTTTTTGTACTTCTGCAATTTGGGGTTTTCATGAACATGCAGATTCCCACCTTTTGTTTCTCAATGATCATGTTTTAGCTTCATGTCTATTGTCACGGGAGCACTAAATTTGCTATTAGAGGGAGTACACTCTGTCCCGTTAACTCAGAACTTTGCTTCCTTACACTAACCTGGTTCCCAATCTTCTGGTTCGTAGGCCCATGAAAATTGACCTTATTAGTTTTCCAAAAGAGGCAGCATTGACTGGGTCCAATTTATGCTCCTGACAGTGTCTCAAGTAGTGGTTGTAGAGGGTACTTCTGGGGAGACTCACTCCTTCTGCTGTTTCATAGTTGTCTAAAAGCCACTGGAGCTATTTCAAATTGGGAACAAAGAAGAAAAATGAGCTCAACATAACTTTGCAGAACAGTTATGCCTTCATTAGTGTTGAAATAATGAAAGAACAAAAATAATTCTCTCTGTTTAGCTGGACACATCTTTCTTTAGCTCCAGGTAATTCTCCACAGAAATTCTAAAAGCATCACATCATCTTAAAATAGCTTTACAAATAGAGAAACAGCAGAATTCTTAAGACTTGTGGCCTCAGGCAATATAAATTACTTTAAGTAGCAACATGTTAATTCCATGTGCACTGACCTAGACTTTCAGGCAAAGTGTTAGCACTTGAGAGAATAAGAGCAACACCGAAAATAAGTCACACAATCAAAAAGGAAAATATTCTTATGAAGTACTGGTAACATTTATCCATGCTTCTGTATCATTAGATTACCAAGATAACAAATATTGCAGTATTTACTTGAATAACTTTTGTTTTTATAACTGCTGAAGATTCTGGATCAGATCCTGCTCCTACTAGTGAAAGAGAGAGGGGGAAAGGGAGAGAGAGAGGTCCAATTTCACTGAAAACCAAACTGGGTCTTGTGAAGAAGCTGGGCTTCCTTCGGACCAAGTATGGGCAACCAATGCACAACTCCCCACCCCCCACCCCTTTCCATTGGCCCTGCTGGCTTGAGATGGTGGGAGCTGGGAGTCCATCCCGAGGGCCAGAGGTTTCCCTATCCCTGCTTTAGGCTACTTTATTTGGGATTTACATGATCATTCATGGTCCTCTGTTGAGGGGCACATGGAAGCTATGTCAAAATTATACAATGTACGCAGAGCAGACTGCAAGTACTGAGACAGGAACAAAGTATCGTGATCCAAATAATCAAACCACTTAAATTTGTTAGACAGTTTCAATAAGAAAAAAAACTTTTACAGCACAAATTTATACATTCCTATTTAGAAGTAAACTCCACTAGGAAACCTTGGATTAGCTTTCCATCTTACATTCTAGTGGAGGGGGGAAATGTTCAACCAGTCTTTGAGGATTGGTAGTTTTTAGTAAGATATATAGGAATGGGAGGTGGGACGCGGGTGGCGCTGTGGGTAAAAGCCTCAGCGCCTAGGGCTTGCCGATCGAAAGGTCGGCGGTTCGAATCCCCGCGGCGGGGTGCGCTCCCGTTGCTTGGTCCCAGCGCCTGCCAACCTAGCAGTTCGAAAGCACCCCCGGGTGCAAGTAGATAAATAGGGACCGCTTACTAGTGGGAAGGTAAACGGCGTTTCCGTGTGCTGCGCTGGCTCGCCAGATGCAGCTTTGTCACGCTGGCCATGTGACCCAGAAGTGTCTCCGGACAGCGCTGGCCCCCGGCCTCTTAAGTGAGATGGGCGCACAACCCTAGAGTCTGTCAAGACTGGCCCGTACGGGCAGGGGTACCTTTACCTTTTATAGGAATGGGAGAGGTACACATGGCTAGGTATACTTATTGATTAGCTGTTCCAAGCTGTTTGGTGTAGAACAGTGATTTTCAACCAGTGTGCTGTGGCACCATGGGGTGCCTTGAAGGATGGTCAGGGGTGCCATGGCAACACTGGTCTCTGTCCCTCTTCCCTTCCCTCCCTCCTCTGATGCCCTCTGGTGTCTCTGCCTCCCCAAGACAGCTGTTTATTTCAGCAGCCCTTGCTATAATCTCCAGTGGCTGCTCAGAGGACTCCCAAGGAGAGGGGAGAGGAGAGGAGGCTGAGGAAACACTCCACAAGGGAAGGTGTTTGAAAAAGGGTGAGAGGCTGCCAGCCCTGCAGGCACAACTGGATTCCTGAGCCCCACAGAAGAGCTGCAAAAAAGAATGTAGCTGGTCAAGGGAGTCATGGAGTCAGAAGGGTTGAAAACCTGGTGTAGACAGCAAGGTTTTGGGGCTGTAGTAACCAGGCCATCTGCTGAACTAACTATAAATCAAGCAGAAGACATGCCCCCTGTCATTAGCCATCTCCCTATTAGTGCCCTCTAGTTACCAGACCAGCTTGAATGACAAAAGCCCCAGCAGAAACCTTCAGCAGACCCCCCAAGAAATGCCTCCTGCAATGACTATCCAGAGGTTAAAATCTTCCTGCAGTGCTGCTGTAAATGAAGGCAGTGGAAAGGCTATCAGGGATCAGCTGATGAAGGAAAGTTTCTTCTGGCCACCAGCAGCCAGAATGAGACCTTCACGTGGAAATCAAGTTAACAGGGCAACCAGATGAGAGGTCCCGAGGGTACTGGGGGCGACCAGAAGGACTGCTCTCTCCCTTTGGCCCATCATGCCTGGCATCGTGTCTCCCAGCCAACACAGCAACAAAATGAAGGATGCTGGCCAGTCCACTTGTTATCCTAAGTGGTGTTCCACTGTGCTACCCACCCTCTGGCTTCCTTGACACCCTGTTGCCATGTCAGACTGGATTAGATGTTTCCTCAAAAAGTAGAGGCAGATGACCCTCAGAAGTTATAGTCATAAATCTGCTTTTGGGTTCAAATTTCATCTTAGACCTAAGGCATGCCACCAACTCTCAGCTTCAGCCACTCATTATTATCAAAGGATAATAACACTGACCTGAGTTACAGTGCTGTTGTAAAGAATGTTATAAACACTAAAAAGGTAAAGGTAAAGGTACCCCTGCCCGTACGGGCCAGTCTTGCCAGACTCTAGGGTTGTGCGCTCATCTCACTCTATAGGCCGGGAGCCAGCGCTGTCTGCAGACACTTCCGGGTCACGTGGTCAGCGTGACAAGCTGCATCTGGCGAGCCAGCGCAGCACACGGAACACCGTTTACCTTCCCGCTAGTAAGCGGTCCCTATTTATCTACTTGCACCCAGGGGTGCTTTCGAACTGCTAGGTTGGCAGGCGCTGGGACCGAACGACGGGAGCGCACCCCGCCGCGGGGATACGAACCGCCGACCATGCGATCGGCAAGTCCTAGGCGCTGAGGTTTTACCCACAGCACCACCCACTTCCCTTTATAAACACTATGAACCCTCTAAAAAGCTGTATACATTGTATATTTCTTGATGCTGTTCTTATTGCTGCTGTTCTTGCTAATATAAAAATGGAAATAGTTATGCTGTGCCTGGGAATTCCACGCAACTGAGATATGGCTTGTTTGTTTGTTCAAAGCCTGTCAAACAAGAGATCCAGAGTGTCCCTTTCACGAACAGAACTGAGATCCCGGGGAGGGCAGGCTATTTCCCACAATTACCATTTTCCGCTGCAGCCTTCTAAAACACCCCCACTGTTCTGGATTGTGCCCCCAAAGCAGTGTTTTAGGAAACAGAGAGAGAGGGAAGTGGGGACATGACCTGGAGCACTCCGCAAGCAAGCCTCTGCAGAGGGGAACTCTGGATCCGGCCCATTCTTTCTTCCTTGTTTTAGTTCATGTACCCAATATTATTTCAAGATATCTCATTTGTCACAAATCTCTTTCAAATTAGTTATGTACCACTATGATCAGATAACTTATGACGGTATGTCAAGGGAAATGGTAACCTTTACCTTGGTGTATTAAAAACACTTATTTATTTCACTAATGAGCTAACATAAGCATATCTGAGGACAGGAACCATCATAGCTTTCAAACTTTGCACTTAACTCATTAGTATTAATCAGCATAGATTAAAGCAGATATTCTATTGCTATTTATCCCAAAGGGAAATACCGAAATGGAATTGCAAAAACCACAGAACACTTCCCAATTAAATTATAAATGTAACATTTGACATTTCCACCCATAGATGAATTACAACATACTATGATTAATTTTAAATACATTTTACAAAAAAACTTTACTTCTGACATAATATAATGGTTACTTGCAATAGTCATAGCTGGCAGTGCAGTCAATGTTGTGAATAAAGACTTTTGCTTTAGGACACACACATTTCACTGACAAAGGTCCCGTTGTTTTGCATTATAAAACTGGGGGTGGAGCAGAGGATGGTGATTCAGGCCACAGAAAATGTTACAGTGGAAATAATAAATTTAAGCTCTACATATTTGGAAGCATGGACCTCCAAAAATGAGCAAGGCAACAGCTCTCTTGCATGAATGCTAGTAGTAGGTGGACAGGATTATTATTATGATTATTTTGATATACCGCTCTTCATCTGAAGATCACAGGGCGGTATGTAGCATAAAAAACTTAAACTTGCCTTTGAAACAGTAAGAGATGATGCCTCTCTAGTAACCAGCAACTACTCCGACACAAATTCATGCAGAATAGGTCTAGCAATGACCATTAGCATTATAGCTATACAGAATTTTCATGCTCAGATGCCTATGCCTCCAAATATCTGATGCTGGGTACAAACAGGGGGTGGGCATCAAAATAACGAGAAAGCCACAAAAATAAGAAAGCATTAATACTTGGCCCAACATACAAATAATTTAAAGAAAACACAAGCTAACAGCATTAAGACCATGTTGTAAAACCATGCCATACAACCATAAAGTGCTAAGCATTGGCATTATAAGTCACCATTATGATAGTCTGTTTCAAAGAAGTTTTGAATTTAAATTTTAGTCAAATATTGTTATGATGTGCAAAAATAAGTTAATCCAATAAATTTACCTCCCTTCACCCAATTTCAACCTTCACCCTTCCACCTAATTCTCAGCCACACTGGTAATTACCATACACATAAAAAGAGGTGAGGTGAGATAAAAACAGAGATTTAAAATACTATTAAACTAAGTGCTAGTATCCCATCTACTGAATGTCATCCCAGTATAACCGCTAAGTCTAAAAGATCTCTACATTCAAAACTTAATTTTAAGGAGGGGGTCTGTATCAGGTTTGCAGACACATCAATGAATTTTGGGATTATAAAACTGGCGGGGTGGGGGGAGTATTTATTTCATACATGTTGTATTTCTGAGACAAGTAACCATTCTTTCACTAATAAAAATGGCATCCTTTTTATATATCCTAATGGTCCATTTCTAAAAGGAAACATTCAAATAATATTTAAACAAAGAATTTTGAAAACTCTATGGATTGTGTAAACTATGAAATGTAATGTTAGGTATATTGCTTTATTTTTCTGGAAATATATGTTCACATAAAGCTATGAGATTTTCAGTCATGGATTATATGGGCCACACTACTACAAAACAGAACTTCACAAAATACCCTGCTTTGGAACAATGACTTAGCTTTGTTTTACTTTACCCTGGAAATAGCACAGCAAGGCACAGGGTATAATTATTTTTCTGCATACTTATTCTGTGAAACAAGGAAACACAGAAAAATAACAAATAATATATTTTTGTCAGTTTTACCAACACATTTCAGGAAATGTGGCCTCAGCAGGTAAATTCTTGAATGAATTGAACCAGCTTTTTATATACAGTCATACCTCGGGTTACAGACACTTCAGGTTGCGCGGTTTTGGGTTGCACACCGCGTCGAACCCGGAAGTACCAGAACAGGTTACTTCTGGGTTTTGGTGCTCGCGCATGCGCAAAAGTGCTAAATCGTGCTTTGCGCATGCGCGGAAGTACGACCTATGTGTGCGCAGACACAGCGCTGCGGGTTGCGAATGCTGCGGGTTGTGAACGTGCCTCCCGCATGGATCACGTTCGCAACCCGAGTGTCCACTGTATACACAATTAGTTAATTTTGAGATAATCACATATTTGGAAATTTCATCTCCACAGTTATGCTTCTTTTAAGATACTTTTTCATGCACACACATGTTAGAAAAGCATTCATTCATCTGCAAGACTTGAAACATACAAGCTTTGTGATTTAACAATAATGAGATGGCACGATGAGAGCTGAAAATATTTACAGATTTTTGAGTGGGGCCAACTTGTGGGATGGAGGAGTGGGAAAACACAAAGGTACGAAAACAGCACTGAGGACAAAAATAAGTTAGGCCGACTCAAAAGGTCATGGGTTTATGAGCATACAGAAACGACAAGCATATGGACCCCATGAACCAAGCCCTTGACTCTCCTTGGTTGTTCCCCAGAGGCAGCCCGGGCCACGTTACCCTGGGCTCAGTCCGACACTCGGAGGAGGCATCAGGAGGTACAGAACCTGAGGCTAGGTCACCAAAGCTCAACAACGCATTTCTTCCTGAAGAAACAGAAGCTGGTGTACCTGTGAGACACCAGACATGCCCTTTTCCATATCTATGGCTCTCCTCCAGGTGCACAATTTTGTATATATAAAAAGAAAGTGTTTAAGATGCCAATTGATTAAAAGACCTGGCTTTTGTGTAATGAATATATGGGAATTAACGCCATTTTACAAAGTGGCAAAACACTTGCCATCTTGAGAGGCAGGCTGTATATGAAGACAGTCCTCATATGGCAAGGACTTTCTGCAGAGGGATGTTGGAGTCCCACTACAGAATTCCAGGTGACCCCTGTCTGGCTTGGAGGGGAGGCTTTTGCTCCACCACAAGAGCATCCCCACTTGGCTGCATGGGAGGGAGATTGCATGAGAAATAATAAAGAGAGATACTCAGAACATGGCTGTGACAGGGGCCAAATCTGCTTCCTCTCTCTAGTAGTGTCAGCTCTGAAAGTCATATCTGCTCTTATCTATATCTAGGTCTTCGCCTAAAGAGTCATATTGTGTTTCTTGGTTGTACTGGAGCACGGTGGCGTATTAGGAACTGGCAACGAAGAAGCATAAAGCAGTGAAATTATTTCCTTGCTTAAAAAAATCTTAAGTCACCACTGTGAGATCTTACCCTTGCCAAATGAGAACAGAATACACATTTTGTTTAACAGTATGAAGCCTATGTTAACAATCCAAATAAAACTAGGTTATTTTTTTAAAAAAAATTTGCTCATGGTGGTTTGAGCAATGCTATAAGGGCGAGAAAATCAAACAACTCAACAATTTTGCTGCACTGTCATTGTGTCCGAAAAAAGATAGTGAGGAGTTGCTATGAGAGCTTAAAAGTAGAAAGGAAGATTCAGGAGGCAAAAAAAGAAAAGGAAAAGGAAAAAAGCAGCAACCAAAACAAGCATTTAGAAGGCAAGCTAGGCATGCAAATCAAGCAAGGGATTAGTTTACATGAAGAAGAGGCAACTTACATGGCTGTTGAGAAGAGAGCTTCTGTGAGTGGACAGACCATCAGACTTTTGCAGTGTCTCAATCGCCATTTCAATCTGATAATAGATGTCATTAAAAAAAGGGCTCAAGACAAGATAGTAATAAAAGACTGACCACAGAAATTTTGATAGATTGCCAAAGTTCAAAAGAAAACTTTAGTTCAAAGCTATTACAATTTATTGGGGGCACAGTCTTCAAATCTTTACCCCAGCAAATTTTGCAGCAACAACTGCCTCAACAAAACTGAAAGAGCAAGTTACCAAAAAGGCCACCCCCCACTCCTGCTCATTCCATAAAAAGAAAGAAAAAACATGGTTTATTGTTAAGCCACAATGCAAACATTTCAGAATCCTGAGCATGGTATAATATCCATAGAAAACAGACAAGCATCCTAGAAAATAAGTATACAAAGAAGTTGAAGCACTTGGTTGAGCCTCTGCTCTGTTCTGGGAGCAGGTCTCCCTGACCTTAGTGAGACATACTTCCAAGTAAACATGAACAGGATGGCACCAGGAGGGTTTATTCTTTGGACCTACAATTTCATATTATGTGTCTCTTGCCTGCTGATACTTGAAAAATGATTGAACAACTTTAATTAATCTCATGATTTAAACGGCTACCAAACCACCACAATTTATTCACTGGGCTAGCACCCTGGCCTTCCAAAGACAAATGCAGATGAGCAGGAGAGAACTATACACTCAGATCTGGTCCTTTGCTGAAATGCTTTTGCAAGAGCAGTTCCCAAAGCAGAAATGTAGGCCGCTGCTCAGTTTAAAGAGGGTGATGGGTTCCGAAAAGGGGGGAAAACACAAGACAAATCTCCTAATGTGCCTGATGGAACATATGCTTCAAGCACATCTGTTCTTTCTTTGCATTCTGGCCTTGTGTAGATGTCCTTACGTAGAATATTTGCATTTGCACTTATAAATAAATTCTGTATGTGGGAATATATAAAAACAGAAGCATTTTGATAGAACTTCCCATTTCTCTCTTAAGTTGCTCAGAGAGATAGTAACAAATAAGCTACTGTGATGATTCTGAGTGAAATAAAAACAGCATGAAATTAATTAGTGGTTGAGGAAAGAAACACTACAGAATGGACAAAAACATAAACATGTTTTTATCTTTATGAACTGAGTCTTTTTAGAGAGCATTCTACACTGATCAGATTATGAAGAGACCAATTTAAGATAGTACAGTGGTACCTCGCAAGACGAATGCCTCGCAAGACAAAAAACTCGCTAGACGAAAGGGTTTTTTGAGCTGCTTCGCAAGACGATTTTCCCTATGGGCTTGCTTCGCAAGACGGAAACGTCTTGCAAGTTTGTTTCCTTTTTCTTAACACCGTTAATACAGTTGCGACTTGACTTTGAGGAGCAACTCATAGAACGCGGTGTGGTAGCCTTTTTTGAGGTTTTTAAAGACTTTGGTGATTTTTGAAGCTTTTCCAAAACTTTCCCGACCGTGCTTCGCAAGACGGAAAAAATCGCAAGGCGACAAAACTCGCGGAACAAATTAATTTCGTCTTGCGAGGCACCACTGTATTTGTCTGTGTCAAACCATTGTCCAATCCAGCCAAAGCTCATCTATTCTAACAAGCCTTTCCTAGCCCTCTACCTTTTTAACTAGAAATGCCAGGGGTTGAAATGTGACCATTTACGCCTGTACAGCATGTGCCCTTCCACTGAACTTCAGGCCCTTCTCATAGGACACAGAAAACTGTAAAATACTTTATTTAGTATAACATTCTCCAGGAAATCTATTTAATTATTATTTTTATTATTTTAAACCATGATCTCAGTGAAGAATCGTCAAGGTCTCTAAGAAAGTATATTAAACATGGAAATCAAGTCAAATTTGAAAAACACCCCAGAGAAACAAATTAGCAGCGATGTTGATCAGAAAAGCAGAAGCAGGAAAAAGATAATCAGGGCAACTCAAAAGCCTGCCAGAAGAGGACCACTTTGGCGTGATGTCTAAAAAACCAGAAAGAGGGGAGCGAGATGAACTTCCCTAGAGAGAATTCTGCAGCTTTAGAGAAGAAATTGCCTGCATGTTGCAACTCACTGCAATGAAGATCCCAACACCACGTCCTTATGGCATTAGGGACCCAGACACTTTAGGGTATTATAGCTCAAAAGCAGCACTTCAAGCTGAGCCTGGAAGCCAACTGGCCACCAACGATGTAATTGCAAAATTGGTGCTGTATGTGCTGCCATTTCCAGAACATACACCATAGGGAGACACATGAAAAGTACTGTATTGTACAGTGGTCTAACCTAGAATGCCAAAGATACAAGGAACCTTTAAATGCAAGTGATTCCAGATTTGAACCTCTTTCCTGATCCAGCACAGCTCTTCTAATGTTCTCGTATTCTTAATAGCATTTTATATCAAAGGAAAATTAATTGTTATGGGGAGTGTTTTAGCCCCAGTCATGTACTGGACAGAGGAGGAGGAGATGTTTAAAATAGATGAGAACACAGTAACAGAAAGTATTGTACTATACTCTGAAGTAAACAAATGACTTATCAAATAACATATCACTAAGTCTGTATTAATAGACTAATAACTATACACCCTAGTTTTATCTAAATTCATGCAGACTAGAATGGTTGCAAACCTCAGTACACATGAAGCATTGCATGAATTGTCCATATTCAAACCTTCAGTCTACAACAGGACTAATGCGAGTGTACAAATCATTTTAGATCTCCAGAAATAATATCCTCCTAATAATAATCTGTTTAGACCTGCAATGTGCACAAATATAAATAAATCTTCTGCTTGCCAATAAAAGGCTACAATGGCAAATAAACAATTGAAATGTGCCTGTGATGTTGACTTTCCATATTCTCACAAAAGACAGCTTCTATTTAAGATTACTCTTCCAAACGTTTGGGGAAAGTTGGGATAACAATGTATTGGAATATGCAACTGTATGAATGTGCTAATTGCGTCTTTTAATGATCAAGTCCCTATTCTCCCCCCCCCCCACATTGTTTTAGAGAATATGCATGCCTATTCAAACAGGAGAGTGAACAAATTTTTTTTCTTCCACACAGAGACATTGATTTAACATTTGTGCACAACATACCACCACATGTTAAGGAAACAATTCACTACAAATTGCGTGTGTTATATTATCAGTATGTACAATGTGCTTTCTGCTTAGAACAAAAAAAAAGTGTGCTTTCTGCTTTTTAAAAAAATGTTCTCAACAGAACAGTTGTTTAGTTATTGGGTGGTACATGGAATATCTTGCATTTGAAAAGGCAAATGTTGTGCTACAGTAACTCATAATTATGGAGTTGGCATATAATTATGCAAATTAAGAAAATTTGCATAATTTGTTTCTAGTATGTCTAAGCAACCATTTCACTGCTCTTTTAAGGGCCTTTTCTTGCATTACTCTGGTGACATGGAAGTGATTGCAGCATTTGTATTTGAAAAATACTTGCTCTTCCCCACGCCAATAAATGTCTTGGGAAATGCAGAAAGAGACCAAACTGTGGCTTTCCTCTGTACCACTGGTTTCCAATTGGTGGTCTGTGGACCCTCTGGGGGTCTGCATAACCCACCCAAGGGGCCTGTGGCACCATCCACATAACAAAAACTACCAGAGAGATAACAAAATTTTCACAAGTAGGAGGTCTAGGGCTTGGCTTTTGAAAAAACAAGGGGCCTGGAGGACTTAGCTAATTGGGAACCAGTGCTTTACACCAAAGCTACCCTTCCCATCCTGCCAGTTTAATTTAAGAAGGAGCCCTTAGCGGTCCCTCTCTTTTGTCCAGTTTCCACACAAGGCGAAACCATGATTTAGTGCCACATGCATAAGCCGAAAAAACCCCAACGTAGAATCTTTCCGACACACAAATATATAAAAGACTCTTAGTTAAAATGTCAGCTTGTGTCAATATTCACACAGAATTCTCAAAATAGTAAATACAGTTATTCCTGATGTATCAATGTCTTACTTGACTCCTTGATTCGTTTTTGTGATCAAACGTAATCAGCAGAGAAGGAAGCTGAAATAATTTTAGAAGCCCACCTTCATAAATAGGGGCTTCTGTCTGGCCTGTTTTAAATCGGTGATCACTAGGTGACAAGTGATTGCTCATTGATGGATGAGAATCTGTCTGCAGAGCAGGAAGTGAGGCAAATTTCAGCAGTCGCCCTCTGCCCTGCTGTGGCCCATGCATTCTCTCAATCTGTCCAGTCCAATCTGCTCCCAGTCCCCCAGTGGGGTGTGTATGTGGCCAAATAGATTCCCTTCCATCAGTGGGCAGTTACCACTCAATATCACTATCATTATCTCAGGTATGCAAATGAAGTGAAACATTGATTGCAAACTCACACTGATTTTGAGAGTGACCAAAGTGAACAGGGGAATCTTGCTAATAATTTGAAATCCTCTGCCTAGATTAATCAAGGTCTGTTTATGCAGGATAACATTCTTGAATTAACCACCAATGAATAACCTGCCAGTGGCATAGCGTGGTTTGCCAGCAGCACACGCCAGGAGGCGGTAGGGCTCAGAGGGTGAACGGAGCCTGCTGCGCCAACCCAGTCCTGGCTACTGTCAGAGCGCCACACACCCCAGAGCCAAGCGGGGCTGTGCTGTGCCACCTACCTGCCTGTGCTGGGGGGGGGCAGGCCAACGGACGCGGCCCTTGAATCACCCCAGCCTTCTCACACCGCCCTGCCTGCCCTGCTCCACTACACAAGGCTGGGATCTGATCTGAATTATTTGACTGTTGAAACTCAGAATTCAGCCTCACAAAGCCATGCAGAGCTGGCAGGGTGGGGTGAGCAGTGCATCCCAGAAAAATGTGCCAGGGCCATCACCCTGGCAGCCCCCCCCCCCAGTGCTACACCCCTGTAACCTGCATATTGTACTTTTAACACCATTAAGCAATACTGAAATACAACGCTGAGAACTAACTCAAGAGAAATCCATCCTTTCTAAAGTAAATACAATTCTAATCTGGTTCACAGTGACAAAATGGAATAAAAGACTATCATAATATCAATGAATTCAAACATCTGATTTCAACAGAAGCCTTGTCTTTCATATTGATTGTCACTCATTTCTATGTATAAATCAACAGCTTTTCCCATTTTGTAACTAGTTCACATTGCGATTTTCGAAAAATGAACTTGTGATAGGTGACAGAAATACTGTCATCAATCTCCAAATATAATACTGATGTCATCAAGTGGTTAGTGAAACTGGCATAAAGAGAGTTTGGCGGATTTCTTTTTCTTGTAAACGCATAATAAAACACTTAGCAAAGTAAGCTTCCATGGCATATTGTTAGAACAAGATACGCAAAGAACTTCTGGAATCTTGAAACAGCTTATTTTCCACTACATCATAGGGGGGTTTTTTGGGGGGGGGGTGCTGTTGCAAAAATAATGAGGAAGAATACAGTAATTATGCAGTTCAAAATAGGGACAGTATTTCACATTACAGAACAAATATAAAATTTGAATTTACCAGCCACTCTTTTGTCTTTTGCTATTTTAACACCAATTAGTCATAATATTAAAAAGCACACAAGCTGCTTGAAAGTTTCTCTTTCAAGCTCTTCAGTTTTTTTAAATTCTCTCTTTTTAATTTGCCAAAACAGATGGTACATGCAACAATATGGATATTGCTGTGTATGGCATCAGCAGTTGAAAAGTATGCTCTACAATTCCTACAATTTAAGAGTTATTTAAAAAAACAAAACAAAACTAGAAGTATTTTTAAATAAAAGTTTCTAGCTGTAAAGAGGAAGAGCAATGTACCTACAATTTATATGTATTATTTAATAAACTATTTAAAAAAAACCCTAAAGAAAATACACACAGAGATTAAAAACCCTCATTTAAAAAATTTAATCTGATTTTCAGTATATTCATGGTTGGTGAACCTTCTACATCAAGGGGTCAACATTTGAAATGTATGTCATTTCCTTTCTTAAAACTTCCCTTTCCTAGTCTGCATCCCAAAATCCCTATACAGTGGAACCTCGGGTTGCGAACGTGATCCGTGCAGGAGGCACTTTCTCAACCAGCACCGTTTGCAACCACAGTGCCGCGTCTGCGCACGTGCGGGTTGTAATTCGGCGCTTCTGCGCATGCGCAAAGCATGAATTAGTGTTTCTGTGCATGCGCAAGTGCCAAAACCCAGAAGTAACCCATTCCGGTACTTCCGGGTTTGGCGCGGTGCGCAACCCGAAATCGTGTAACCTGAAGCGTCTGTAACCCGAGGTACCACTGTACATTATAATCTGAACTTGACATAACTACACAATGCCTTATGAGATTTCCTCTTTAAACTTAAGTTCTCTTGAATGCCAATCTACAAGATCCACTGACTTTACAGAGTGGCTTTTCTGGCAAGGCAGAGAGAGCAGAAAAGGAACCTCAGAAACTTTCGCTCCCTACAAGGCTTTCTGGGTTTCGTTCCCAATGTTTAATATTTCTCTCATTAATCTCATAATGCTGTTTATTTTGGGGTTTTTTTTCTCCTTTCCCCACTGCCTCTGTATTTTAACATGGCTGCTACAAGCAGGTCTATTTAATTTGTATGTTCTCCTCCATTTTGCACAGTTCTCCAGATATTGCAGGACCACAACTCCCATCACTCCTGACCATTAGCCATGCTGGCTGGAGCTGATATGAGTTCAATAACACCTAGAACACCGCAGGTTCTCATAACATAATGGCCTGGTACAGATGCAATGTTAAACCATGGTTTGTCAAGCTCAACACTGGTTTGTTTGTATGTCTTAAATTGATCATGGTTTGTTTGGAGCAAATTACACTATTCCGCTGATCACCCAAGTTGTACATGGGCAGAGTGAGGAGGCTGTCAGAGCAAGTGTGCTGGGTGGGTGAATGTGAAACGGAGAAGTTTAATGTCTCCCTTCCCAACTGAACAATCACCGCTGAGAGGAGCAACAGACAGCCTCGCCTGATAGCAAACTACATAATCTGGGTACAAACAGAAGACTTTCAGAAGGAAAGGACTTTTTCTTCAAAAGGATTGTGGGAGGAGGATGTTTTACTGCTTAGGAGCTTTCTGGAGAGGCCAAAGAGCTCCAAGGCGAGTGTTTATGTTCACTGCCCAGTTTCTGTAACCAGCCAATGGTAAGGCAGCTGGTGATGCCTTGCCAATCCCCAGATGCCACAAAGGGCTTCAGCGTAGCAGCAGGGTATTTGCAGAGGAGCTCAAGGAATAGCAAGCCAACACTAGACAAAACAAGCCATGGTTTGGCTGAGTATCAGTAAGCTGGACCATGGACTATTCAACAAACCATGATTAAGACTATCAATTACTGGTACAATTTATATTAACCAGGAATAGGCTTGGTTGTTTTTAAGGAATAAAAAGTTCTCAAACGTTGAGTTCATTTGCATCCACCTGCCATTTAGCAACTTTACATGCAGTTGCTAATCTCTGTGATACATACCTCTAATGCAATCAAATGCCTGCTCACATGGAAACTACAACTGTGACTGAAGCTGCTATCAATATCAAGAAAGCTAAAATACGAATGACAACCACATGGAGAACTATCTAGAGCAACCCATACAGGAGACATGAAATCCAGAACTGAAAAGAATGCAGTGAAAGAAGCTGTGATACTGTCATTATATTTAACTAAATTTCTGCAATTTTATTTCCCCACAAAGTAAATTTACTGAACATAGGTTTGAGAGAAAGCCATCTGAAAGTCTGAATCTGTTCGAATAAATCTGAGTAAAACCATGAGACTCGTACTTTTCCCTTTCTTTTTTCGCATGGTGGGCGTCAATTATTTGGGGCAAAAACCCCTGCGACCCATTGCTGTGAAGCTTTTGTTCATTTCAATGTCCTTGTGGAAGCGACACGGAAATGAATAGAGGTTGCATGGCAACAGGGCCAGGTAGTCCATGCCTTCATTAAGCAAACCTGGAATTTCTGCTCCTGAAAACAAGCAAGAGAGATGGAAGCGTCTGCGCTACTTACTGTGGCTGGGGAGGCGCGCGTGGTGTGCGTCACTGAATGGCCAGAGTTCTCCATGGAGTTGCCAATCAGGTAGGTGCCTCCCGTGCTGCTGATGAGCTGTCCTCCCGTGACACCCATCTGAATGCCTCCAGTGCCCACCATACTATGAGAAGAGACCACAGTAGTCACCTGTGCAGAACTGCCTTGGGTATCAAAGTAATTCCCTCCAGTGTTTTGGCTGTACATCTGAGTTTCTGTGTAAGGATACGTGGTTGTTCGTCTTCAGGGGAAAAAAGAGAAAAAAGACAAAGTTGTTTAGATGCATCCTTTTACTAGAGGAAGACAACTGTTTCACCACAATGGCTTACATCGAGCTAAATATTATTTCTCATTTCTAACAGAGTTTCTATTGCACAAAGTCTTTTAAATTTATTATCTTATAATCTAAGATGAATCTCTTTTCCTGGAAAAAACTATCAATTATTTACTACAAAAGTAGCAACACAGCAAACTGTTATTCCCAATGTTTAGAAGTGGAGATGACACACCCTTTGCTAAGAGAAAAACACAACAAGCGTGTAACTACCGAGTCCATCTGTTTCAAATGCTCACTCTCAGTGATGTCAACTCCAAGTACTTCTGAGCTCAGAATACAAAATATTAATTCACAGTAGAAAGATGACATACACTTACGGGCAGAAAAAAATGGCTCAGCTTAGATGCTGAAAACTTTATCAAGCACGGAAAGTATGTTGCCGTGTTTGCTCATATGCATTCAAACTTCTGTGTGAAATCACGAGAGCTATACAATAACTTAAAAAAGAAACAAAAGCAGATTCTCCAGATATCAGCATGTCCAAGGGAAAGCACAAGCGATGTATACAGGAACTGGGCTCTGTGTGTGTGTGTCCCTGTGGACGCAAACATAAAACCATAGAGTTGTCCAACGCCAGTTACCATTTTCATGTGCTCAATATGTTTTGTGTCTTTCTGACATTTCCCTGTGGGAAAGAAGTCAGGTAGCAGTAATTCTGATGAAAGAGAATGGCGTTGAAAGGGTAAATCTTTTATATTTTCTGAGGTTTCAAAGGTGGTGTGCACATGGCACACTCCCACACATTGATTTATTCCCAGCTGACTCTATTAGGTTCTATGGAAATGTCATGACAATGATCTGTCACCTTTTATAAATTAGTACTTCTGCCACCTCATCTTGCCTCAGCATGTACCTGAGCTGAATGCGACCCTAAATTTTCTTTCATCTGCTCATTCAATAGGCTTCGTTTACCTGGAGCACACTGATCTTTCCATGCAAAAGTTGCTCTTAGGTTTAGTACTGTTTTACAGGTGCTTTTCACTCCATCAAGAAAAAGCTTTCCTTGCAATTAATTATTTTCTACTCAGTTAAGTGTTGTTTCCTTACAGGCAGCCTAATTGCTATAAAAATTTGAACGCACAGAAGAACCTTGATTCAAACACCTGTTCTTTCTACTGTAGTGTTTAACTTCACCATCTATTTACATAGGGTTCATTTATTATTGTTATTTCAACAGTATGTAGTGATAGTAATAGAATTTAATAACATTAATACATTTAATCATATTAGCTAATATTATTATGGGGGAAAGTAGACAAGATTTCTTAGCTAAAAATTAAGAAAGCTGCTTACACCCATCAATATTTATGAGAACGAACACAAGTTTTTATAGGTTTTTAAATTATTTATTCCTGCAAAGCAGAGATGTTGAAAACATTAACCACAATGTAATTTGAAGACAATATATTTGGAATTATTATGGAGAGGAGATGGGAGAATGATAACACAACCCTGGGCTTTCGTTTTTAGCAGCACCGCATGTCCTTCCGGAGGGTCTGGTTCACACATCACATTAACTAGGCCAAACCAGCACTTCGTGCAAATGCATGAGGGTGCAAGTTCTCAAAGGGAAATGGCAGCCACCTTGCTCCTCCCCAGTTATTCTGCTGGTGGTTTGATTTAGTGTGCTGCCTAAACCATAGGACAAACCATGGTTACAGCTTGGAGCTAGTTTAGAGAGAGCTAAACCATGGCCTTGGGCTTAGATGACATGGCTTGGCTCAGCACAGCAGCAGAACCAAGCAGCAATACGGCCACATTCCCCTCTCCCAGAGCCTGCATGCTTGCATGTTCACGGTAACGTGCAAGCCAGGCAAATGTCTAATTCTGCCCTTAGGAAACAGCTTTTGCAACACAGGGAATGAACAAATGCATCTAGAAGGCTGGCTGTATGAGAAATAAGGAACATAAGAGTCACAATACTAGAGACCTATAATTAATTAGAGATATCTAACATAAAACTGAAGTAGTAAACTTGATTACTCTTCCACTCAAAATGATAATTATAAAAATTCAGGCGCTAAACTTATCTCTTTCTGTCTGCACACTGCAGGTGACATATCATGGTCACATTCATCCATGAGAAGTACATTACAATGGGAGAGAACAGGCAATACAACCTCAAGAGTCATCCACTTAAAACTGTACTCTTTGTACCTCATTACTCATAGATCAACCGTCTGAAAACTCACAGATCTATGATGTGCATAATATACTGACTAGAATGCTGCTTCTGCCTCACTGAAAATTTCCATACGAGCATGGCAAAGATTCTCTACCATAAGGCAGTTTTATTTATCTCCCGGTATTGTAATGACGTATGCACCACTTTAAGGACACTGCTTGCTTGCGCTCTCTCTCCTTTCAAAATTCCTAGACTGTGTAATTATCACATACTCCCAAGACTGTGTAATTATCACACACTCCCATAATCAGAACTGTTCGGCTTATTTGTGGCATTAGCTTATTTATGTTTCCTGTGTCTACTGAAAAGAAAAATACCAACCATGGTTTTTATCTCAACATGGGCTTCACCTATATCATGTGACAAAGAAACACCCACCACCCCCTCAAGATCCACGCCAACCACAAAAGATCATTAGCTACCACCAGGTGTCAACCGTGATGGAGCTTTAAAAAACAAAACAAACACAGAATGAATGATGGGGGTCCATCATTCACAATTGGTGAGGGTAGTTTCATATGTTCACTTTCTCACACATTTTTCCATCTTCGGTCCTATGTGCAGCCTGCATGTAGAAGACCTGCATGTATGAGTGAGATGTCCAAGATGAAGGACTTACATAGCTCCGTTTGTGTAGACGGTGTCACTTCCCTCCACATACTGCACCTGGGCTGGGTAGACATGCTGGACCTGTTGCACCGTTTGCACTTGCTGAACCTGCAAAGAAATCAGTCACATGATGAGGTGCGTTTCCCTCTCGGCCATTCAGAACCTAATCTCTACTGTTGCTAATTATTAGTGAGCAATAAACAAACAGTGAAGCAGTGAAGCTTCCTAAACAGATTACAAAACAAACCCACAGTAGGGTGACTGAGGACAGACTCCCCATGGCATGCTTGCCTTATTTATCTGTACAATATTAAAGTAATAATACTAATAACTTTATTATTTATACCCTGCCCACCTGACTGGGTTCCCCCAGCCACTCTGGGCAACTTGCAGCATATATAAAACATAATAAAATATGAAACATTAAAAAGTCACATTTCAGCAGGTGTCCACATAACATAACATAACATGACATTTAGAAGAGATTCAATCTTGTTCTGTAAATATACTTGAATTATCAAAAAGTGACTTAGCAATGTTAGCTTCATGGCTAAAAATTTTTAAAGAAGGGGAAAGAATATTGTGAACTGTTCAGATGCCATGACAAACCATGGTTTGTGCTAAAATAATAATTTAAACCCAAACTATAGGCTGTGCTTGGACAGAACAATGAAATAAGGTTTATTGCTACAGGAATGAGTGCAGTCAAGCCTTGGGCTCATGTATCTTCCCCTCTCCTCTCAGCTTCCATTATGGCTGCAAGGAGCTCAAAGAATTCTGTTTGCCTTTTTGACGAAAGCACCATTCAGCAGGAAACGTGAAGCCGTGCAAGCCATGGATAGTCTTCATTATGGTTTGCTGAAACAAGCCAACTGCAGACTGTGGTTTATGAAGCTGGCTTGTTTCAATAAATCATAGTATGACCCCAGTTTATGATTCAGATGCAACACCAGACTGCTGTTAATCCGAAATGGAAGTGAATCCCTCTCCTCTCCTCCTCAGGCTGTGATGGAAGAGCAGGACAGTACAAAACCAGAGAGGGTGAAGCTGAGGCCCAGTGCCTTTGGGGGACGGGGGATGGGAGGGTGACGGTATTCACCGGCAGCTTCTCCCCCTGCCCTGCAACAGCCACTGTGAGCACCGCCAGTGAGGTGACCAGGGGGCACCCAGCCAGCAGCTGAGCCCAGGGCACGCGGGGAAGCACATCACAAGCTGCACCCCCCATTCTTGCACCCCTTGGGGAGTGGGACTTGGGTACTCCGGTCAGCCCCGGGGAGAAGGTGCCCAGGCACCAGAGGGGCTTTGTTCATGCCATGGCTCCCCATGCAGCTGAGCGTCTCTGGGGGGTGACGGTGGTGGGACTGTGTGCCACTGAGTAGCACCACAAAAAGCACTGCTGAGGCTGACACTCATTCCTATGTCTAACACAGCAATATCTTAAGTGCTGACACAATCAAGCAAACCATGGTTTAGAGTTGCTTTCCTGCTCAATAATCTTGTCCCTGGATGCAATGGCCTCTGGAAGCAAGGGACTTAACTATGGGTTTTCTATTCAGACCACATACCAAACCATAACTTGTACAAACCACAGCTTGTTTTCCAATTCCCCTTTGCCAGCCTATTGCATAGCATGGTTTGTGTCAAACAACAGTTCTACTTCCCTAAGCATGGTTTGCTGCAAGTTGGAACTTAATTCTGACAGCAAATTCTGCCTTTGAATAATTGTCTATTTCCTTCAGGTGCATTGCAGATGTCTGGACAAATTCATGCTATTTCCTGTCAACTGGATTCTGAACTCTTGATAACGTAATAAACATGCAGCTTACGCTATCTTTTATCTTGACCGCTCTGCTGCATGATATCTGTTTTCAAACAAAATTACCCTGGAATTTATGTCCATATTGTCCATATTTATACATTCTATAGATTTATATGTGGATCTTCAGATGTTATCCTTGAAGATAATAGAATGAGTAAATATGAAGCAGAACTGCCAGTAGTCTATTACTCACACTACTTTGGGGACTGGCAGGGGGTACTGTTTATCCACACATTGAGAGAGGATGAAATATATTCTAGTCCTTAAGTGCTTTTCAATTATATGTCTCTGCTACTCTAATTGGACTGTGCAAAGCTGTTACCAGCAAATTAAATATCTTTTTTTTTTTGCTAGTCACATAAATCTTTGAAAAGCCATCAGTACAAATTCTTCATTTGAATCAATACAAATACCTTCACTTTAAAAACAAATCATATACTTTTAGTGAAAAACTGAGGCCTTGTCATCCACTAACCCAGATATTGTAGGGAATGACTTCTGTGCAATTATATTAATTTATTCTATTATTCTC